TCCAGTTACAAAGTGGTGGTGTGTAAATAATCGAGTCTGGACCAGACATTTCACACAGTGATCAACATCATGAGCATCGATCTATGCAAATAGGATGCGATGACATGTGTCTACCAAGTCAGCGAGCCTGACCACCCGATCCCGTTAGTCGCCTCTTACGACAGCATGGCTTGCTGAAGACCAATTCTAACCCGGATCTTCACGGGTTCACCTACATTAACCCTTGAAAGGTTACAGTTAAGTGCGATAATGTTAATTGGTGCACACGGTATTCAGCTCATTACATATGCATGTCAACACTGTTTGTAGGTCACGCACGTCAACACATGTGTGAGCCAATGAAAACCAGCTATTTATATGGGGTTGTATGACAATCAGGTTTAGTTAATCTCGAGCAAGTGATATTCATAATATTGAACGCTTCCAAACGTTTACGTAAACCTATCACGAATATTGGTCAGTGACGGTGCGCAAAGACAAACCAGTTGTCAACTGCTGGCTTTTGCTGTTAGGGATCTTTAACATACAGTGGGCCCTGGTTATAATGCCACCCTGGATTTAATGCCATATTTTCTCCTGGACAAACGGTGGCATTATAACCAGGGATAATGTATGTATTTTTTTCCTTTTGACTTTGATAATGGTGTGTACCTGATATTGAAGTACAAAGTTACGAATCCCAATTCCATGTTACTGTTTTGATAGCTGTTTTGAGGGCCAGGTTAGACAGAAATTATCTCATCAATTTGGACTTTAAATAACTGTCAGATGAATTGTATTTTCAAATTTGTGGGGGAATTGTTATCTTCTGATGGCTTTTTTTTTTTTTTTTCTTTGTTAAATAAATTCAAGACTTGATATCTTAACTCACATAATGAAAACGACAAAGTTGTGACACTTTTTTGTTATTGCAACTTCGCTGCAGCGCTTGCGAGGAAAGGGCCTAACTCAAAAAATCTTCCTGCACTGCGCGTCACGTGATGAGAAGTGGCTTATCACCATCCGTGACCAACCCGTTTTATTCCGGACAAGCCGAATAGCTTACGGAAAGGAGCGAAAGGTGACGAAGGCGGCAACCATAGGTCAATACAAGGACCGTAACCAAAGCATCTCTCCATTCAACATTCTGTGTTAGTGGATAGTAGACGTGGGTTGACGTAACTGTTCTCATACCAACACAATGGCAGATGAAACAGTGAGTATATCAATATTTAAATTGTTATTAAGGAATGGACATTTATGGATGTCAACTTTACATATTATGAGGAACACAGTGTTTTTGGAGTACCTCCTCCGTAAGGAACCGATGTGTATCACTTCTAAATGCCAATTGGGGCGGTGGGGTAGCCTAGTGGTCTCGTCACGCCGAAGACCCAGGTTTGATTCCCCACATAGGTACAATTGGGAGCGACCATGACCTTGTGATGATGACCTTCAGGCTACATCTGAAGAAGATCAGAAAGCAAGGCCACACAAGGATCACGTTTGACCTTGAAAAGCTGAAGGACCCTCAGATAGCAGAAGCCTTCCAAGCAATGATAGGCTGAAAGTTCGCCCCGCTCACTGTCGTTGACGCTGACGGCCCAAACATGGGCGTGTTGATCGACACATTCAACACAGCTGTGACGGAAACAGCCAAGGAGATCCTGGGAAGACACCGCTCAACCAAGAAGCCCTGGGTCACACCTGACATCCTGGATCTGTGTGACAAGCGGAGAGAGCTGAACAAGAAGAAAGGCGAGACAGAAGGAGCGAAGAAGTACAGAGCAGTCTACCAACAAATCAAGAAAAGCATGATACAGAACCTCTACGACAAAGCCACCAGCGCAGTCTACTTCAACAGCAACATAGGGGACTGGTTTAGAACCAAAGTCGGAGTGAGGCAAGTCTGTTTGCTTTCACCAACTCTCTTCAACATTTTCCTGGAAAGAATCATGACTGATGCACTTGAAGACCACAAAGGAACAGTCAACATCGGAGGCAGAGCAGTGACCAACTTACGTTTCTCCGACGATATTGATGGCGTAGCAGGAAAAGAAGAGGAGCTAGCTAGCTTAGTGGACCACTTTGACAAAACCTCTAGAGCCTATGGCATGCAGATCAGTGCAGAGAAGACTAAACTGATGACCAACAACACCAATGGCATCAGCACTGACATAAGAGTGGATGGCGAGAAGCTAGAAACGGTCCACAGCTTTAAATACCTGGGAGCAATTGTGACAGATGAGGGATCCAAACCCGAAGTACTCTCCAGGATTGCGCAGGCGACAGCAGCGCTCACAAAACTGAGGTACATCTGGAACGACCTGAACATTGCACTCGGCTCAGAAATCAGACTGATGCGTACCCTGGTGACAGCAGTACTCTTGTATGCATGTGAATCGTAGATCTTAACAGCTGAGACAGAAAAGAGAATACAGCCCACTGAGATGAGATACTTTCGAAGACTCCTGGGCATCTCCTACAAAGATCATATCACGAACGAAGAAGTTCGGAACAGAATCAGGCAAGTCGTTGGGCCCTACGAAGACCTGTTGACCTTGGTCAAGAGACGCAAGCTCAAATGGTATGGCCATGTCATGAAATCATCAGGGCTTGCCAAGACATTCCTGCAGGGCACAGTGCAAGGAGGGAGAAGGAGAGGCAGACAGAGGAAGAGATGGGAGGACAACATCCCAGAATGGGATTGAGGTTGAGAGGTACAATCAGGAGGTCAGAAAACCGAGAGGATTGGAGGATGCTGGTTGCCAGATCACCTGTGGCGCCCGAACGGTCCACAAGACTACGGGATAGATGATATGAGATAGGTACAATGTGTGAGGCCCATTTCTAGTGATATTGCTGGAATATTGCTAACTCACTCACTCTAAATGCCATTTAAACCTGATCAATTGTATTGCATTTAGCACAGATGCTTGGACGATTGGAGATTGAGGGAGGGAGGGCATTTTCGTTATGTCGAGTTGGCAGAAAGACAGTGTAAAACATATGTATTTGCGCCTCTGCGTGTGATCCTTTGCGCCCAAATATATATTTGTGGTGACGTGCTGTTAATAAGAAAATAAACACTATACTGAGAACAAATGTGTTACTGGGAAATGCAGATTGAACACGTGTGTGTGTGTGTGAATGGATGTGCAGGTAGGGGCCTCAGTGGGCTAGCCCTATAAAACCATGGTTAATTTGAACAAGTACAAATGACTACCTCCTCCTTGCATTCAAGCTGCGGTGGTGAGGTAGTCCAGTGGTTAAAGCGTTCGCTCGTCACGCTGAAGGCCCGGGTTTGATTCCCCACATGGGTACAATGTGTGAAGACAACTTCTGGTGTCCACTGTCGCTATACTGTGGGATATTGCTAAAAGCGGCGTAAAACCCAACTGGCTTTACTCTGTTGTTAAACCAAATTCACTATTTTGAAGCAATGATATATTTTATTGTTGGATTCCATGAAACTGTATTACCATTATTAGTACCCCATAGGTGTCCGGCATGAAAATGTTGAACTTAATTTTACCTTATTTTATAATAATATATGATTGTATTATCAAACGTTATTTTCATCAGACATTCAACAAGGCTTTTGAAGAAGTCAAGACATTGAAATTCAAACCCTCAGATGATGAATTGTTGGAGATCTATGCTCTTTACAAACAAGGAACAGTTGCCGACTGCAACACAAGTAGGCAAAAGTTATATCCTAATTATACTTCAATTACATTTGGATAAGACAAATGTAGTCGTATTCAGAAACGGGGGAATAGTTGCCAAAAATGAACAATGGACATTTGGTAGTGTAAAATTAAAACTTGTATCGTATTATAAATATATGGTGAAGATCCTGGTTAGAATGAACCTTCAGTAACCGATGCTTGACGTAAGAGGCGACTAACGGGATCGGGTGGTCAGTTTCGCTGACTTGGTTGACATATGTCATCGTATCCCAATTGCGTAGATCGATGCTCATGTTGTTGATCACTGGATTGTCTGGTTCAGACTCGATTATTTACAGACCGACGCCATATTGCTGGAATATTGCCGAGTGCTAAACTAAACTCACTCACTCACTTTTGATCAACAGCATAAAGCACAATTGGGATACATCCACATACACCGAGTTATTGCGGCTTTACCCCCGTCACTTACGAGTGGTACCCATTCATAGCAGGGTGGACTGGGACACAGTCCTTTGTCCAAGTTCACTGCACGTTGCTGTACCCGCAACTAGGTATTTGCATGTATTAATGTGGCCACCATCTGGCCATATACCAACGGATTCGTGGGTTCTCTTTTAAGTGCACAGGGTTGTGTACTGTACACTAGGGGTTGTGACAACACTGAAAGAGTCTGCACACAGTTGACTCCAAGGTTTTTACACCCGGTCACAGGTGGGCTCGATCCCGTCACCTCAAGCTCACTGGATCACTAGCCTGGCACTGGAGACAGTTCCTCACCACGGATGTGATGACGTAGTCCCAAGTCAGCGAACCTGACCACCTGACTCAGGGATCGACTGGTGAGGCCTGACTTGGTTGACATATGCCATCGTTTGGATATCTTGGATATCGGTCCACTAATCTTCCGTAAACCGGAAACCACCATATATAACCTTGAGACCAGGCCCGGATGTGACAACAGGGAGAAACTGGATATGAGAGACAGGATCTCATGGATGTTAGTCCTCTAATCGTCTTGTCCGTAAACCGGAAACCACTATATATAACCTTAGGACCAGGCCCGGATGTGACAACAGGGAGAAACTGGATATGAGAGACAGGATCTCATGGATATTAGTCCTCTAATCTACTTGTCTGTAAACCGGAAACCACCGGACCAGGCCCGGATGTGGCAACAGGGAGTAACTGGATATGAGAGACAGGATCTCATGGATATTAGTCCTCTAATCGTCTTGTCCGTAAACCGGAAACCACCATATATAACCGGTCGGGGGGTCAAATATCGACTGTTTGTTGGTATGGCATCAGATATCAACAAACCAAATGTCGAGAACAACCATCAGGTTTTATTGTTTGCGATAGACATCTGTTTCCGGTTTCCTTGACCTTCTGTCTAAGCGACATGTTCATCAAGGTCACAGATCTCAAACTTGAAACGTCGGTCCCTAAAAAAGAAACAATTGTTCCAATCGTGCTTTTTACATATTCATGGTTCGTAAATTTAATCTGCTCAACATGCAGTCAACCTGCTATTTGGCATAATATTTATTAATTGTAACATAAAATCAATGTACAGAAAAAGGTAACTGCAAATTCGACTTTCGTCAAAGTCTAATGGTGAATGATTCTGCTAAAGGTAGACTAATTAACATGCTCAGGAAATACATTTTATCATCTAAATAGTTTTAAATTGTTATTTAAGCAAATTGATGTCGATTTCAAAGGCTACCTAGTATATTTGTTCTTTGATGAGCGGTACAGTGAGTGAGTGAGTGAATTTAGTGATTTTGGTGAGTGAGATTGAGTTTTACGCCACACTTAGCATTAATCCAGCTAAATGACGGCGGTCTGTAAATAATCGAGTCTGTCGATGTATCCCAACTGCGTAGATCGATGCTCATGATGTTGATCACTGGATTGCCTGGCCCATGCTCAATTATTTACCAACGCTATATAGCTGAGTTTCTGCTCAATGTGACGTAAAACTGAACACACTCACTCACCCTGCAATGTTAGTTTGAAAATGCAAACAGTTTATCGGATCGGCAAAGCGAGTTTATGAGCGCTCCAGTCTGAAGTATTATGAATGTCCTCGGTAACAATTCAATCACACAGGATGACAGTGCAACACAATTTGAGCTCTGTGCAACTGTGCATCTGTGCAGTTTATCTTAGCGAGGAGTTTCCACAAAACGAAGCCCTTGCTCTCTCCTTAAATCAACGGCAATTTTGCTAAAGAAATAGGAACAATTTCAAAATATCATCGTTTTGTGAAGTTTACGAATATCTCATTATATAGGAGTTAATTGATTGCATATATTCTTCACAATTTTATCCTGAAAAAAGTCTAAGACAACTCACTCTTTACCGTTGTCATGGTAGCTGTCGACTCCGCGCATGACTTTTCCGACAGGTACGACGTAGTCCATGTGTTCGTCGAAGTTGTTGACGTAGGGCGTGAAATAGCAGGACCCAGTAATGTAGCCTGCGTTGAAGCAACAACAACAAAAACATCAGACTAATTTGTTGTCATGGAAACCGGAAAATGAGAACGGACCAATATTGATAACTCCAAAGAAACTATCTATATTCATATATTTATGAAACAAAATGGATTAAGTTTGGAGACACCTCTGAAAAAAGTATAACTTTACTGGTAAGTTCTGAAAAGCCGGTGGCCACAAACAATAAAATGCTCTCTGAAAATCTTGAATTCAATATGGCCGCCAAACCATTACCTGGACTAAAGCAAAAAAGAATGTCAAGTATCTAAAGCAACAAAATATAATAAACTTTGAGCGCATGTGGACCTGCAGTTGTGGAGCATTAAACAGCCCCAGGATAAAAACCAAATCAGTTTGAATCCTGAAAACGCCCAGATTATTCTAGACCCTCAGCCGTTCATAATATTTCAGGGGCGAAACTACTATTACAACAGAAATACAATTGCTTACACCAATAAAATGGCGTTCGTTCAACAGAATGAGACTGATCAAGACATGCCTCAGGTCAATAATCACCGAGAGAGTGCGTTCTTTGGCACTCCTCCACATTCACAAGGTCATAGACATAGACATTGACATTGACATTGAAAAAATGATTGACGACTTGCTGTAGGACGGAACCGACCATTCTTTGAATTACAACAGATTTGTCACAAACGTTTCAACTCTAGTTCAAATACCAAGATGACAATGACTTGGTGATTATTAATGTGTATTTCATTGTTGCGATCAGGGTCAAAAGGTGTGTTCATGGTTCGTTTCAAAGTTGAATTTTAAAAATATTCAAAAACATTTGTTGTAGTTCATATTCATCTTGCATGCGTTATGAAATAGTCGGTCAGAAATTGCAGGGAATACCGTTCAAGAGCATCTAATACATAATCACGCCATTGGTTTTGTTTACATTTATAATAACCTAGCTTCGCCCCTTAGCTTACACAGGGGCCTCCCTCCATGATCCTTTAAATCTAGGTCAAGGTGTAGTAACGAGTGCAAGTGTCTAACTGGGACATTATATTCATGTATTCATTTACTCTTCTTCAGCAAGCCTGTGAAGATCCGGTTAGAATTGATCTTCAGTAACCCATGCTTGTCTCCCGTGAAGATCCGGTTAGAATTGATCTTCAGTGAATGCCCGTGAAGACCCGGTTAGATTTGATCTTCAGTAACCCATGCTTGTCTCCCGTGAAGATCCGGTTAGAATTGATCTTCAGTAACCCATGCTTGTCTCCCGTGAAGATCCGGGTTAGAATTGATCTTCAGTAACCCATGCTTGTCTCCCGTGAACACCCGGTTAGATTTGTCTTCAGTGACACGTGTTGACTCCGTGAAGATCTGGTTAGAATTGTTAACCCATGCTTGTCTCCCGTGAAGATCTTAGAATTGATCTTCAGTAACCCATGCTTGTCTCCCGTGAAGATCCGGGTTAGAATTGATCTTCAGTAACCCATGCTTGTCTCCCGTGAAGATCCGGGTTAGAATTGACCTCCATTAACCCATGCTTGTCGTAGGGGCGACTCATGGGATCGGGTGTTTTCGCTCGCCGACTCGCTTGACATGTGTCGTCATATCCCAATTGCGTAGATCGATGCTCATGCTGCCATATAGCTGGAATATTGCTGACTGCGGAGTAAAACTAAACTCACTCATTCATTCTTCTTCAACAACATCAAACTCTTGAATTGGAATGAATTGAATGAAATGATCGTCAAAAGGTTTCATTGCGTTAAAAGTCCACAATTACCTGGTACGTCGCAGCAGTAGAACTTGAAACGTCTGTCTTCATCATGGTTGTCATGGACACTACTGATTCCCGCAATGATGCCATCACGCGCACATTGGAAGGTCAAAGGTTGATCAAATTCATTGACGTAGCCTATTGGATGGAAAGAAAGTGTCACTGGTAATAACGAAATAAATGCCCATTCTGTTTGTCATTAGAAACTCACCTGTATATAGCGGCTTACCTATTTTTGAAAGCTCACCTGTCTGTAGATGATTACCTGTCTAGAAGGGCTAACTCGTCTAGAGTGGTATACCTGTCTATTGAAGTCTACCTGTCTATAGTAGCATACCTGTCATTAGAAATATGCATGTGTATAGCGGTTTACCTGTCTATAAAAAAGGTAAGTTGTCTAGAAGCGCTAACCAATCTATAGTGGTTTATCTGTCTATTGAAGATAACCTGTCTAAAGAGGTTTACCTGTCTACAGAAGCTTACTTGCGAGAATGGATTACCTTTCTAGAGTGACTCAGCCGTCTAGCTTACTCGTCTATCGTGGCTTACCTGTCCAGAGAAGCTCACCATTCTCGATTGCCTTAGTTTGGCTGTTTCTAGAAACTGACCTGTCCATAAAAGCTTACCTGACCATTCACAGTTGGTCATCTTGGCATCGTTGTGGGGCGGGGCTCTACAGGAGAAATCCCAGACTCTGTCTTCAAAGTGGTTGTCATGGCTACTGACGACGTGGACCAGTGAGGTTTCAGCTGGGCACGTGAAGGTGAATGCTTGATCAAACTGGTTTATCCAGGCTGTCACGTGACAGACCAGAAGACAGAGGACAAGCTAGAGAGAAGAAGATAAATTCTGTGAGCGTTTTAAAGAAACAAATTAGGGTCATCTACTGGTAAAGTGCCTTGACTGACTGAGTCGGGTTTGGCATTATTCCAAAAATATCAGGGCAAGGGACACAGGAAATTGGCTTCACGCACGTGGGGAATCGAACCCGAGCCTACCAGGCTGACCAGCGAACACTTTATCCACAAGGCTACCAAATCCTGTCTTAAGAAAACAAAGAAGTGGTTCGTAGTTTTCGGAATAGGAACCGTAGTCAGCACTAGGAATAAACAGAATGTTCAGCTGTGTCAACCATTGGCAAAGTCAGATAAAACAGACATGGTGGTCAATAGTCCATCTGAGAGGACGTGGCAATATTTCGACAATATGAGTTGACTTGCAGCCCATGGATTGCCCATAATTAGTTGTCAGATACAGGATACGATAAACGTTTTGAAGAGCAGAACCCCGTTTCACAAAGCTCTTGTAATCCTAAGATCTCGTAACTTTTCTCGTAGCAATCGTACCTCCTATACTGTAACATTGACTTATGACAGTCGTAGCGCTACGAGATCTTCGTGAAACGGGGCCCTGGTCAAACATACATACACGCAAGTAGGGTCCGCCAGTGGTTTATAAGATTCAAGACTTCCATGGTAAATGTTTCTGACACAAATTTCACAGAGGAATGTTATTAAACATATTAAATATTGTAAGATACCTTCAACTTTTACGAGTTTTAATAATTGAATTCGCATTCTCCCATTCAGTTATATGTTCCCACAATCTTGGCGACTTGCACCTGCTGATGGCCAGTAGAACCTGAATGTTTGATGCAGAAAACCAATACCGACCTTCCTCAACGATTCCATTGCGCCTTTAGAACACGATGTATTTAGTCTGCGAATATGACATGTGGAAGGGGGCAAGATTCACTATCTCTGGCTGATAAGAGGTTAGGCCATAGTGCAACATGCACAGTTTTATGTGGGGTATGCAGTGTTGAAATCCTATCAGTAAATGTACTAGGCTGGTTATTGTTTTTGCGTACTTATGCTAAATATTGCAGAGGTTAAAACATAGTCGGGCCTTTATCTTGAACACGTACGTTTATTGGATTATTGTCCGCAGATTCTTTACAAGACGCCGCAGCGTAGGTAGAATTGAACTTGATACGGTTCAAACTGTATAAATAAAACAAACAATTATTTAAATACAGCTGAACAATTTCCAAAGCTAAATCAATATCTTGACTACTCAGATTAATGCAATGTATCTGTAAATATAACGAAAATATGAAACACGAACCCACGTGCCTGACATGACAAAACTGAAATTATTCTTAACTCATATAAATTCATCAAACCAAACACGCTTTGTGACCCTATCAACAATGTTCATCAATATAAATAATAATCATCAACTACTTACAAATTTCCTTGGCCCCTTGCTCCTCTACAAAAATCAATCACCGCAGTGACACCAGCCATGTGCTCCAGTCGACCTCAGTCGCCCAGATCAAAACTACCGGCCGGGACCACTTAATCCGGCAACAAAAACAAAGCCCGGATCAGTTTACCGGTAAAAAACAAATTAATTTTTATCTTTAACACTAAAGGGACAGTAAGTTGCTTTGTACAATATTCGAAATGTATCGATCATGGCCTGTCATTCAATTTTAGTGAGTGCAGCCGAGATGCAATACTTTGATAATCTTGATAATCTCATGTAACTGTACAAGCAGATTAATTTAATATTTACCATCAGTTTTCTGACCTTTCGGGAGGAAGTCCACAAGTAGGATTTCTTTGGAATTCCAGAACACCAATGCCATCCCCTCGCCGCTCTATACTGAATGATTTATATAGATGGTATCTATATCGATAGATCGTCCTCATACCAATATGTGGTCTACTGACCGATATGTGATATCGATAAAGAAGTGTGGACTCTGGTAAATGGCCTCTATAAATGGATGTGGTTCCTCTTCATATCAAATAAGTAAGTAGCTACCTTTGATGCATACGTAAAACCACTATATTTCCACGGCGCACCTCATATCTGTCACAAACGTTGCTAGAGCCTGCGCGGAAACTAGAAATATTCCAAATTTTAAAGTAATAATCTAACCTTTGAACGATGACTAAATCATGAGTGAGTATAGTATTCTAATCTGCCGAGACAACTGTGGGAGTGAGTGAGTATGGTTTTACGCCGTTTTTTAAAGCAATATTCCAGCAATATCACGGCGGGGGACACCAGAAATGGGATTCATACATTGTACCCGTGTGGGGAAATCGAACCCGGGTCTTCGGCGTGACGAACAAACGCCTTAACCACTCGGCTACCCCACCGCCCCACAACTATGTGAGAATATCTAGGAAAAACGAAGTTCAAAGCTCAATGAGGTTTTGCTGTGCCACCAGGACAAAGGGCTATCATTTGAAGTTGGCTCGCCATGTAGAGTAAGAACATAAAAATCAATCTGTATGTCATTACTGTATGCCCAACTCATTGCACAGTGACGCAGGGGATTTAATATACTCATGGAAACAAATAAGGGAACACATGAAAATACAAGTGTTCCTTTATTTATTTCCAGAATTTCACCCACAGTGCAATACATACCTTGTGAAGAAACCTGGAAAAGAATATAGGAACAGTTGCATTCTCATGTGTTCCCTTATTTGTTTCCATGAGTATATCTTTACATCTACAGAAATGGAGAAAAAATTGACATCGTCTTCATTAGAATAGATGCAACCTTTGCGATGCTATGAAGAAGTTGTCAATCAATAACATACTCCAGCTTCTAGATGCCACCTTTGCGATGCTATGGAGAAGTTGTCAATCAATAACACGTGTCGTTCTTCATCAATCCAGCTTCTAGATGCCACCTTGAAAAGTGATGCAAAATATGAACATAAGACTGAGTGATTTCCTGAAAGTAAATACGTGTATCACCCTTTAATATTGATGAACTAAATGGACGCGATAGTGGACGTGCCTGTGTAGACCATATCCACAGTTCTTGTAGTTCGGTAAATAACAGGGGGAAAAGAAAAATACAAATCGACTCCTCTCTGCTTCGTTTGACTCTTTAACTGACTGACTGACTGACTGAGTTTGGTTTTGCCGCTTTTAGCAATATTGAACATCACGGCGGGGACACCAGAAATGGCTTCACACATTGTGCCCATGTGGGGATTCAAGGGTCTTTGGCGTGACGAGCCAATAACCATTAGGCTCCCCACCGCCCCTTGACTCTTTAAAACATTTATTGTGGTTTGAATTACCGGTGTGAGTGGTAAGATGATTCAAGTCATTAGATCTCTATATAAAAATATTACTTGTTGTGTCAATTAATTATGTGGTATTAACACTGTATTCCCTGTTACAGCCGGAGTTAGACAAGGATGCAGACTGTCCCCAGCACTGTTTGAACTAAGCGTAAATCTTGGCCGTCGGTATAATTAATTTATTAATTTGTGCTCACACCAGTTTCTATCTAATTGTATATCAATATGTTGCTTTAATGTAGTAAATGTACCCAGTCTCATGGGTCAAATGGAGGAAGGTTGTACCTGTTAACGACACCTTTTGGTGTATAACCTGTAAATACCTTTTATATATATGTACAACCTGTGACTCGTTAATTAACAATTCTCACATTAATTGCAGTTGATGATTGATATTGCATTTGGTCATTTGTGAGTGCGTGAGTTCAGTTTTAAGCCACTTTTAGCAATATTCCAGCAATATCAGGCCGAGAAATAGGCTTCACACATTGTACCCATCGAGGAGAATCGCATGCGTCATATTTTAAATATTTATTCTAAATAAATCGGTCTCCAGCGTGACGAGCGAACGCTTTAACCACTAGGCTACATCCCACCGCCCCTATAAGAATCGTCGCATCATAACATAATACAGAAGATATCATCTATAATGTATTACACCTTTCTTAACATTCAAGAACTAAATGCCAATCAAACAGGGTAGTTTGTAATTGCAATGTTTTGCAGTTGTAATATACTTTGTAAATCAAGCAGCAAGGGGGCATAACTCTCTCTGCACTGTGAGTCATGAGAACTGGCTTTTCAATCACATTCCATTCTCGGCCAGCTCCTGTCATTTCTAGTCTCACAGACCCTGAAAAACCCAATAAAGCCCATGTAAGTTTAGACTTTGTGGCAAGTCTCTACTACCAGAGGTTCAGGAAAATAAAGAAAGTCTCCTCTATCATTAAAGTTTAAGAATATAATTTATAAACGTTTTTTTCTGTAAAATATGTTCATTTCAGAGACTAGACGTTAGTTTACGAGACAAACCGAATATCACCTTCGTGCGGGTTACGGAAAGTAGCGAATGTTGACGAATGCGGCAGTCAAAGGTCAAAGGGAGGTAATCGCGTAGCTCCAAAGTCCTCGGTCAAAGGTCAATGTAAGGGCCGTAACCACAGCGTCTCACCATTCAACATTCAGTGTTTGAGCATAGTGCACGTGGGTAGCCGTAACTGTTCTCATACCGACACAATGGCAGACGAAGCAGTGAGTATATCAATATTTAATTGTAATTGTATTAAATAAACATTACCAGTTGTTGTGTACGTCTTCGACGTCAGGAGACAGGGGGAGGTGTGAATTTTTTGTTACGTCGAGTTTGTTGGCAGAGCGACTGTAAAATTAATACTGTGAGCGTGGCCCACAGCATCACAGACTCACAGATCCATATTATCTACTTCCGCTGACTACTCCCGAGATTATATGTGATGTGTGGTCATGGTGATCTCGAGTTGGTATTTCATTATGACCTGCATTTTTCGTTTTGGTTCATTTTTAACACAGGCGAGAGACGCCACCACACCCATTTTTCATCTATCTTACGTTTGGTTCGGATCGATTTTTACAGGATGATGTATTGTAAATACGGGTAAAAGTTCCAACCGGACACCCCTGTGGAAATGCATTCTATTTGTTAGGATTATGTCATGGGGTTAGGATTACGGGTCTGGGTTGGATTTAGGGTTAGGTTAAAAGGTTAGGTTTAGGACTGACTACATTTGTGGTAGCCTAGTGGTTACAGCAATCGCTTGTCAGGCTACCTGAGTTCAATATGACATGGGTATCTACAATGTGTAACTCTAACAAGTGTCTCCTACCCTGATGGTTAGAACTGGTGTTCAGCAACCTCTTTGCTTGTGGTAAGAGGCGACTAATGGGATCAGGTGGTCAGTCTTGCTGACTTGGTTGACACGTCATCATATATCCCAATTGCATAGATTGATGCTCATGCTGTTGATCACTAGATTGTCTGATCCAGACTTGATTATTTACAGGCCACCGCCATATAGCTGGAGTATTGCTGAGTGCGGCGTGAAGCTAAACTCACTCACTCACTTAGGAATATTGCTAATAGCCCACTCACTAACCTACTATCTGACTACGTTGTTGAACAAAATTCACTGTTTCGACCCGCTAATATATTTGAGTCATAATAAACTTGATTCCATGAAAAATTGTTAACATTATTTGTACGGCCTACCTTTAGAATACGGCACCACAAACTTTAAAAATACGTTATAATACCCTTTTACATAATGTAATGTGATTTTGTTCGAAAGCACATTCTCGAAACAAAATGCCCTATGACGCCTGCATGGCAACACGGTTGTCTAGCTCAGACAGTGCGTATAAGCTCCGCTCACTGGTGTTTCATCTCTACGAGCTATGTCATTGCATAAGCCCAACGATGTTGAGAGTTTCCAGTAGTTGTATATCGACGGATGCGCAATTTTTTGCAAGCACCAGTTTGAAATATTTTTCTTTTTTCACTAATACGCTCATATTTATTTGTAGTACGGGGTGCTGAGGTGTTATGTTTGTCATGTTTGACCCGGTTCGGTCAATGCATTCTATTTATTAGGATTATTTCAAGGGGTTAGGGTTGGGGACCTAATTCAATATAGTAGGCACATGTCCGGTGTAATATGCGAGTACCATTTGTTTTTCCTTTTGCATTTTAATGCTTTTTTTCACACAAAAACGGGAACCAAAAACGTCGAAAGTACACTATGAAATGGTTTAATGTAGAAAATTAGGGCTAATGGAAATTGGCCTGGAATTTGCACTCAAGCCTCTTTCACACACAACATTTGTTCAGTAATGATTCGAAGGCTAACTCACCCTTGTGCCGTCACTACACATGCTCATGTCTCCTCGTTCTATAGTGCGATCCTCATTATCCTTACAGTGTTCCCTACATCACTTTTCTGTCACAAAATCACCGATTTATATAAAAGCGCGTCATTCATGCATGCACTGTGAAATCTACGTCTGACGCCTGACGTCAACAACCCTTTTCAGTTTGAGGCATATCGGCTTATTCAACGCCACACGTTATCTTGAAGATTACGGAATGGGACGAGTGTGCCAAATGGCATCGGGTCCATTCGGCAATTGTCTATAGATTAAAATCACGAGACACCAAGTCTACCCATAACGTTCGTAATTGTCTGGTACCTATTCGACTCTTTCTGTTCATTTCCGTGACATCACAGGAATGACTCGATAAATTTGCACATTGCACAACATTGTGGGGACTTAGCTGTCGAGCTGACAATCTGGTTGCTTGTCTTAATGACACGTGGTCTACAGTAGAGATCGTCCTCACAAGAAGTTGTGCTGTATTCTAAAGGAGCTCTATTTGTACCACAAAGGTGTCAAAACTTGAAAATGATGATATTAAACAACTTTACCCAATTGTATTATCAAACTTTTTTTTCAACAGACATTCAACAAGGCGGCTGAAGAAGTCAAGAACTTGAAATCCAAACCCTCCGATGATGAAATGTTGGAGATCTATGCTCTATACAAGCAAGCAACAGTTGGCGACTGCAACACACGTAGGCAGCAATTTCATCAAAGTTCACTGTTTAGTTATTGATTCGGGTGACATTCCGGTTGGGTTAATGTCGACCATGTGACAGAGTCGTTTTTGCTGTTTCCAGATGTTAACATGGCGTCCCTGTGTAACAATACATCTGTGTAGGGCGCTAGGGCTGGCGATCGATGTAGCCATCATGTAGATCATGGCCATCTAATCGGTCAATAAATATTGATCAATTATTGATAAATATCAGAGAAATAACTTTGAGCTAAAATACTAAAACTTCTGAAAGAAATGAATATATTTCGCATCTCTGGTGGGTGGCGATGTGTTTATGCATGGATTATTAACACAACAGCACCCTGAGCACAACTGAAGCAGCAGCCCGTGAATAAAGACTTTGTAGATTGTGTGAAAAAACCAAAATACTTTTACTCATCAATGTAAGATATTATCGATAGCACAATTTTCATATCAATAATGATTCATGACTTTTCCTATCAACGATATTTCTGATTATCGGTCATTTTAGCCAGCCCTGATGGGAGCCTAGTTGATTAAGCGTTTGCTCGTCACCCCGAAGACCCCGGGTTCGGTTGCCCACATAGGTACAATGTGTGAAGCCCATTTCTGGTGTCCCCCGCCGTGATATTGCTGGAATGTTGCTAAAAGCGACATAAAACCATACTCACTCACTCACCTAATGGGTGCATTGTGAGTTAAGACCACGATACAATACATGAAATATCTTTTCTGTTTCAATACAAAACAGTGCACTTGCTAAAATACATAATTTTGCTGAGACCTGTGAATATCTGGTTTAAATTGGTTTTCAGCAATCCTGCTTGTCGTAAGAGTGGGTGGTCTGGCTCACTCACTCACTTGGTTGGTGTGTGTCATTGTATCCAGTCGTGTAGATCAAAGTTCATTGTGTCTATCTACGAATTTAAATACTGGATATCAAACACAATAACAAGTCAGGAGTTGATGTGTTATTTTATATATTCAGTGAAACAATAACAAAATAAGTTAGAAGTTTTGACCATGTTGACAGTATTGCTTTGTCAGAACAGAGACCAGTGACAATTTTACTGTCAAACTAAATATTTAAAAGTGTTGACTATTATCTTGCCTGGCTTGGATATATTCCATTTGCCATGCCAAAATATCACAATTTCTATTTGTTAGTAAATAACAGCAGGGACTACTTTATATTCATTATATTCATTGTATTTAAAAATATAATTACCTATTATAGAGATTTCCCTGGATCTATTCATTTGCAAGCTCTTGGTACCCTTGGAAATGCACATTACTTATAACATATTCATCAAGATGAGGGTTCAAGTTTAATATAATATAATATGATACAATATATAAATTGCAAATTGTGTAATATTAGATTCCAATGTACACATTTCATTTATCAGTTTATTATGTATCCATCATTCTAACATCCATGCTTATTTGAATCCAATATGATTCACATTTGATAAGGTTTTTATTTGTATAGGACCAGTATTGTGTCTGGTGAAACCCTCAATTAAGCATGTAACCATGGTAACAAGTGACTCAACAAGAGGTGTTATATATATCGCTTGTCCTACCATTAACATTAAATGTACTTGACAGGGGCTGTATATGATAACAAGGTTGCCCTATCTCTGTATATGTAACATCCGTGTCAGGTTGTCCTGTTAATGTAACAATCGCTGTCATGGACACGGGGGGTCATATCAAAATCATAAAGTGTCAGAGGGTGGAAGATATGTTGATCTGACATATTACATTTTAGTGGAGCGGCTTGTTGAAATTTATGTTCACATCTGGCAGGAAAGCTGAACTTTTGCACAGACATAGCTTAACACCCCATAATCATACAACAATCAGGAGACAACAGTTTTGGAAAGTGCATCCTACTTTTGGGGGTAGAAATGCAAAAAATGGGGTTATGGATTCTAATTAGTGTACACATTGAAGTACTGTTTTGGGTTGAGCCATCCTGAATTCGAACCCATACTCTCAGAGTGAGGCGCCAAATGGCCCCTACACAAAGGTAGTGATCTAACCGATGCACCTATCGCAGCTTTCGCAAGAAAGGAATTGGTTCATATAGTAAAACCTAGGTTTAGTTTGAAGGATAAATGGTCTATTAGCATTGTCAGAAACTTTTATTTACTTCAATTAATTGTTTTTGTAATTTCAAAAACGTGCTAATAAGTGATTATTTCAGCATTTGGGATCAGTTCTTTCATTAAGAATCAGACTTACAAATTATTTGCTGTTGATTTCTTAACCATGTCATTATGACATAAGTCACTGTATGGCTGAAATATTGCTGAGGTAATGTTAAGTTTTAATTCACTCACTCACTCACCTTATGACATGATATACTGGGTAACCAGGTAACTGACTCTCCTTTGAACATGACGGACTAAAGACGCTACACTTTTGGAATTGGATTTGACAATAACAATTACAGATGTTATGAAAACATTACTTTGTTGAATACAGCAAACACAACTACTTACATGAAATACACCACCTTCATGTGACCATTGTTTCAATTTTAGCTGCTATTATCATAGATGTAAATTTTCTTTTGTCCAGCTGTTTGTCAGATGTATCACTGCTTAAACCTGTACATGAGTAGATACATTTTCCTGAGTATTGTGTGCACTTTTCCCCCAAAATACCATGTTTGTAGAGGGGGTTATACCCACCACTATGAAGTTTGATGTTTTTGTCCCAATGCAGGGGCGGTGAGGTAGCCTAGTGGTTAAAGTGATTGCTCATCACACCGAAGAGCCGGGTTTGATTCTCCACATTGGTACAATGTGTGAAGCCCATTTCTGGTGTCCCCCCATCTTGGATATTGCTGGAATATTGGTAAAAGTGGCATAGAACTAAACTCACTCATTCACAATCCACACTCCGTACCAAGAGCGTGTAACACTAGAAATACCATGTCAACAAATCTGAATTTACACATGCAATATAATCATGTAATTCAACTGCCTGGTTATGACATGTATTCATTATAAAAACATGTCAATTGTATATGTAGACGTATATTTTAAAGCATTTTCATCAGTTTTCTTCAAAATTTCATTCAATATTTAATCCAGCTCAGTGTTTATAATTAATATGGGTCCTTGTGATGCGTGGACATGTCATTGTCTCCCATTTGCGTAGATCGATGTTCATGATGATGATCACAGGATTGTCAGGTCCAGACTCTGTTATTTACAGAATGCTGCCATACAGCTGGAATATTGCTAAGTGTTAATAACAAACAAACTGAAGGGCTAATGTTAAGATTATCACATTGAGTGAAATGGCCAATTTAGCACAAATAATGGCCAAATTAGGTTTTGATACAAGCCCTGGGTGAACTGATCACAAACCTCGAGACCTTAGCGATCAAAACTTGCAGTTCTGTATCTCTCGATTATACACCAGTAGATAACCAGTGGCCTACGTTTGTACAGTCATGTAGCTATACTGAACACGTTGAACGACTTTTCTTCGATGGATTTTGCACTGAGCAACGAGATAAACAATGTTGCTGGAACTTGTAGATTGGGTCCAAAGTCCTGTTGGTAATTTTCCGAAGTGGGTTTGTCAGTTAAAATGCCGTAGATACTGAGCAGTGATGTGATAACGGAATATTTAGCAATCAATCAATCATGCTGGTACACAACACTGTTTCTAATGTGTATGGACTCCGTAAAGATTGGAGGCGGGGGGTAGTTTAGTCATTAAAGTATTCACTTGTCACACCGAAAATCAAGGTTCGATACCCCACATGGGTACAATGTGTGAAGCCCATTTCTTGTGTCCTCCAGCACGATATTGCTAAATATTGCTAAAAGTGGCGTGAAACTCTACTCACTCACTCATTTCTGGTGTCCCATGCTGTGTTATGTAACAGCATGGCACACTACTATCTCACTTCCTGACAATTATTCCTGAATGGTTTATTTGCTATGACCTATACTGAAGATGATATGTTTTTATTGCTCTTTAAGTTTCTGATGTTAAAACCCTATTTCTGTACAGCTAAACATGATACAAACTGTGCAAGTGTTACCTATTCTGAAATATGCAACCTGGGCCTACTATTCAGCAGACCTCGATTCAATTCGATTTTTTGATATTGGACCCTTGATTTGATCATTTTCGATTCGATTATTCATACAAGTATAAACATCAGATTTCATTTAACATTCAGAGTTGACTTTTTCAGCATGAAATCCGTCATCAACTTGGCGATGTCTTCTAACAACAATTGTCATTTTATGATTAACCTGGCGTCAACCAATCATGTTTCGCCTTATTTCAGCTCTCGAAACTGCTCGAGTTGGAGTCAAAATTACGTTCTGGCTGTATGGACATAATTTAAATTGGTATTCAAATATCGAATCGAAATAGTGATAATGGTTATCGAAAATCGAAAAACTAAGGTGAATTGAACCGAATCGTTGCGGCCCTACTATTCAGGATAGTGCTATTCAAATAGTGCTTCCTTTGCATGTTATGGCATGGTAAATATAAAAAATGGCATGGATGAAATATTTTCAGTGTGCCCTGGCGACATGACTAAAATTATAAAATGATGATTGATAGGAATATTGTCTTATCGATAATATTGATATTTTTTATTTGCTCACACAATACACAAAGTTAGGTTTTTAATCATTCGCTGCTTCTAAATTATGTTCTGGATGCTGTTTTGTTCATTATCCATGCACCAATATGCCCCTACTCACCAGTGGTGTGAGGTATCTTAATTCTTTCAGACATTTGGTGGCATTTCTGCTCAAAGTTTCTTCCCAGATATTTATTGATAATCTATCGCTATTTAGTTATGGATTATCAATGTCGATGATCTGGATCGATAGCCAGCCCTAGTGCGTATATGTCAGGGTAGAGACTGCAATCTGGTAGAATCGGCAATTCTACCAGTGGAGATTGTAATCGTAGTCTCTACTGGTTGAATCAGAGATTCTATCAGTACATTTTCCAATTCAGCTGGTAGAAACTGTGATCCTACTAGTAGAGGTTGCAATCGTCTTCAACTGGTAGAAACTCTGAGTGATCTGTGGGTAAACAACAAAGACACTTTTTCTGAACAGTACTATGCATTTTATTCAGATTTCTAAGATGCCTAGCGGTTAGAACAATCGAAAAAAAACATTATCAGACAATAAAGGTATAGTTTTTTGATGACGTAACAATTGAATGACGTTATCCCGTCACTGCGCCATTCTAGTGTGCCCCCTCGTAATCGAACCATTTTACATTACGTCACAATGTAAGCGATCGATGCATGTCAGTTGTCGCCAAGCCTCGTCACGACCTCCTACAGTAAACTACACCGTTGCATCCAACAAAGCTAACATCACACGTTTATGTTTGAACGGTTAAATGTGTCATTTTCGACTCCGAGTTTTCAGCGACGGTAGCGTTAGTAATGTTTACATTCCACAATGCAATTGTGGAATGTCCTTGACTACTCAACTTCCTCTGGATGTACTGATCTAAACTTACGCTGGTAGTAGAAATAGCGTTCATATTGCCCCATATACGTTAATGACAGATGTAATTAAACATAATGTTCAGAAGATATTTAATCGAGCGTAAACCGTCATCAAACTGTTATCATTTGTTTTTTTCTGGTAGCGTTAGGTCTTAACGTACACATCAATAGAACATACAGTTATGCTGAGGATTCTTAATTTAGGTCACCCGAAACGTAATTATCCTTAGAAAGTATTAAATTTAGCATCTTAGAAAAGATGTAAAGTTAAGCTCTACCCCAATGTGTTTTGTAAAGTATAGTTTGCCTGAACTATTATAACATCAAAGCACTCGGACTACCGTCCTCGTGCTTTAATTCACTGTAATAAACACTACGAAAGTAAAAATTTCTAAATAATACTAGACTGTTCCCACTTCTACAGATATATTAATGACTAAAAATACAAATGTGACTTGAGAGATCATATTACAATATATACATATATTACAAAACTGATTACAAGCAAGATCAATTGCATAATCAGTGTTTGCCCTAGGCATAAAAATGTCATCATGACTCCCTGGTGTCATGAGAGGGAGTCATGGACGTGTTTTTGGGATTCAACTTCTTTCATCGAGAGATCAACTGTTATTGTTTAATAACAACAGGTCCAAGTACGGCAGGTCAGGTATTTAATCAGCACTGAGCAGTTAACTGGCAAACATTAAACTTAGTAGTTTTAAACAACAATAAATTACAATATGTACTCAAACTTAAACTAAGGTAAAGTTATCTGAACTAACAGCCCAGGTCGAGCATTGCCTCAACAATGACGCGAGCTTATAAATTCACTGCGTATTTGAGATAATTTGTGAGTCAAATACGCAGGTTTTCTGCATCATGGCAAACACTGCATAATCATAAGTACTAAACTTTATTTTGGCACACGTTAGTTGTTGATGGGTGGCACTTTGTTGAGCATTTCATTCCTTGTTTTTTGCACCTACATCTGTTCGTTACACAGCTCCCCTTGCAAGAACATACAGTTGATCCTTGTGTCCTACTTGCTGTCCAACCGTGTTCATTCTTGAAGCATGGATGAGACTGATTTCGTCAAGACTGTGCACATCCTTATGCTCCAATGATGGAAAAAAAATTTGGACTCCACTCAAAAAACTCAAAAAGCAAAAACAAAATACCTTACTCCAAATCAGACTTAACAAATAAAGTTAACAAGATAACAATAAATAAGTTCAATTATAACTGGCAAATAATAGGAAAACATTATCCCCACTTATCATACTTGCTTGCACTTGCTTGCATAGGTTATTCCATATAATCGTAGTCTCTACCAGTAGAGACTATGATTGCAATCTATACTAGTAGGATCGGAGATTCTACCAGATCGCAGTCTCTACCCTGACATATACATGACAGGAAATCCCGTTTTAAATGCTAATATAGTTTGTGGGTTAGTTTATGGTTCCAGGACATATGAAGCTGAACTATTCTTGCAGATTAAAATGACATCATTGTTGTGATGTTTTAAGTTTGATCGGATCATCAGCAGGTACCGGAACACATATTTTTACAAAGGCACACCTAAGTTATCTGTCTGTTGGCCTATGGCACCCTTTAAAAATTGCATTTCTGACGCTGCTGTTTGTTTCAACATGCAACTAGTGTATATACAGTTGCTTTTAATTTGAGTCCTGATGAATTAATTCTCTTATGACATTTACTACTTGAGCTTTACTTATCATGCTACATCAAAGGTCCCTGTGTTATGTGTAATTTTTCTTGTATTTGGGGCCTTGATGTGCGTATTTATGAATTATTTAAACATGTACAATCTGAATACACAATGCCATTTAGAAAGTGGTCAAATGTAACAAATGTTATATTTGGGATTACACATTCTCAGTAAAGTACATATTTTAGTACTTATTTTTTAATTGGGTCGAGTCCCATCTGTGTGACTGAGCGGGCTAGGCATCTGACTTTGTGTGCTGGCGATTAGGTGCCTGACTCTGAGGTTGTAAGTTCGAATCATGGATAGGGGTCGGCCCAACGAAAAAATTACTAAAATCTGTACTTTACTGAGAAAGTGTAATCCCAAATATAACATGTGCTACATGTAAACTTGATGAATTTATGGAACTAGTGTGGAACCAGATCTTGCCTCAAGGTTTTCATGTCAACATGAACAAAGTTCAAGGTCAATCATGTTCCTTAAATCCAGATTTTGTCCTTTTCAGCGAAACCTGGTATGCTTGACTTGAAAGGAAAGGCCAAGTGGGGTGCATGGGACGGCAAGAAAGGTTAGTTCCAGCAGGTCCAGCAGGAGGTCCATCATCTTTGGAGCAGACGTCCTAAACCATTGAATATGTAAAACTGCTGAACTAATCAGTCTGGTTGTGAACTGGTGCCTTTTGATACTGATGGGATTGAAATGTTTTTTGTGTTTTCAAGTAAGAGGGTAGGGCTCCTTTCGGGAGCATTATTCCAAAACTTTTGAATATTCCTTGATGAAGTTGCTATATCAAACAGTCCGGTTGTGAACTGGTGCCTTTTGATGCTGATTTGGGATTGAAAGGTTTTAAATGTTTTTTTGTGTTTTCAAGGGTAGTGTTTGTTTCGGGAGCATTATTCCATACTGTTGAATATATCTGGATGAAAGCTACTATATCATTCAATCTGGTTGTGAACCGGCGCCTTTTGATGCTGATTTGGGATTTAAAAGTTACTTTGTTTTCAAGGTTTCAAGGGTAGTGTTTGCTTCTGGAGCATAACTCTAAAACTGTTGAATATTTCTTGATGCAAGTTGTTGTACAGATCAATCTAGTGGTGAACCTTTTGATCTTTTTAGATATTGATAAATATTGAACAGCATCGTTATTTTGTCACAGAGCTGAATACATTGGCAATGAACCGAAAGTTGGGTATAAATAGTCACACTCCATAAGCAAATAGCACCAGTGCAAGTGAAAAATTACGATAGGCCAAATAGATCTTGGGGTCTGAATAATGAACATAGGGTTCCAGGGCTGGTGGTGTGTGTAATGCTTCATTTGATTCCAAGAACTGATCTGATGCTCGGTATGATCAGAAGCTTACATGATGTTATTGTAGCAGGGTGTGGAGTCATCCTACAGATGACATCCTTTCCTTGTCTGCTTGCTGATTGGGTTAACCTCTTGGTTATGTGGACAAGTCGAATCAGAAGGTCCATGGTTCAAATCCCAGCAACCTTTATGGCCACTACATTATGTACTTGACAAGCAGTGTATATTGTTATTATTAATCTTATTGTTATTATGTTTATTCTTCCAGGGATTTCTCAAGATGAGGCCCGAGTGCAGTATGTAGCTAAAGTTGAAGAGCTCAAGGGGAAATATGGAATCTAACTGTTTTACTATAATGTAAGTAATTTATTGTTCAGACAGAAGTAAATAGTGAAGTATTTTGTCATTTTGCTAATTTACTTGTTTACTGATATTAAGTCCTTTTTCACTGTAGTTTAACCCATCAGATTTCAGCATGTACAAGTACCATTTCAATGGTTTTTGAAAGATTTAAAGGCCAGTGTTTTCAGAAGTGTCATTATTTTGAAAATTTGGGCTAGAAAAATACTCTTCACAAAACTATTGGAATCGGGATAATAAGGGTTTTGGTTGTGAAAGCAACACTAGCTATGTCACAACAGTGTCAATATGAAATTCTTCTTTAGACAATCCAGTGATTGATATCATGAGCAACCATCAACACTAACATGCAATTATCCGAATCAGTGGGACCGCCCTGTGTGGCCAGTGTAGGTTGCTGGAGACGAATTTAGGAATTCCAAGAGGGGTTGGCATTACTTTTGGTTCAGTTAGATTCATTTGTTAGAGGGGCAGTGGGGTAGCCTAGTGGTTATGAAGTGTTCACTTGTCACACTGAAGACAAAGGTTTGATTCCCCACATGGGTACAATGTGTGAAGCCCTTTTCTGACGTTCCCTGCAATGATATTGCTGGAATATTGCTAAAAGTGGCATAAAAAGTCATTCATTTGCAAAAAGATAATGGATCATTTCACCTTTAATGCTTTTCATGATGGCACAACTATACTGAACAGAAAAAGTAACAGATCATAATGATAATTTCTGTAGTAAAGCCTGAGCACACAATTTTATCAAAGTCTGCCCCAAGATTTTCTTGATCACAAATTTTTGTTCAATGGAGATATCTGAAAAATATCGGTATACTTGATTCTCATTCAAGTATGTTTTGGCAACTATGATTTGAGGTTTATATTTTCAAGCATTGTAACCATGGTAACAAAACTATTTTAGTTTGTTGTCTTGTTCATGTGAGTGGCGGTGGGGTAGCCTAGTGGGTTTACAAGCGTCCGCTCGTCACGCTGAAGACCTGGGTTTGATTTTCCCACATGGGTACAATGTGTGCAGCCCATTTCTGGTGATATTGCTAAAAGCGGTGTAAAACCGTCCTCACTTACTCATTGTGTACATGCGAACAAATATTCCCTGTCTATCGTTCAATCTTGATATATGTTTTTTCAGATTTCTACACATGACAGCACAACTGCGGAACAAACTGGCTTCACTGTAGTTTCCAACGATTGACTTCATTTTTTAACTCTTCAGGCCAAGAGAAGCCACATGCTTGTTAAATTCTGTTGTTAGTGAACTCTTTTTTTGATTGTCACTTTTTATGTATTATTTTCGAGTATGTCAAACATAAACACCTGCTTTTGATAGATGGTTTGTTTGTTGTCAATGTACACATGACAAGGAAGGCTCTTTACTTGTTGGGGAACGATACACCTAATTCACGTGTCAGTGATGTTGTGATAATAGTTATAGTAACAGTCAGTGAATGAGTCTAATTTTACGCTGCACTCAGCAATATTCCAGCCAAATGGTGGTGGTCTGTAAAATAATTGAGTCTGGACCAGACAACCCAGTGATCAACAGCATGAGCCTCGATCTACGCAAATGGGATATAATGACATGTGTCAAACAAGTCAGTGAGCCTGATTCCGTTAATTACCTCTTAGTCTTACGACAAGCATGGGTTACTGAAGACCAATTCTAACCCAGATCTTCACTGGGCCAATTTGATAGTAAGGGTAACTAGCAAGTGATTCGAACAACAGGGAATTTGTTTAGCGGGTGCAAATGTTTGCATAAATGAGGTTTGACTATAATTTCAAACATATTTTGTGTAAATTTATTATTCAGAATCAGGAAAGCTAAAGAAAACAGTGAATGTTGTTGATGCCAATTCACATTTGGTCATTCAGCCAACAACTATTGTGGTCAACCTTGGGCTTTAAGCTGTGCCAGAACTCAGACAGGCCTGACCAATGTGGCATCTAGTTGTGCCAGAACTCTGCATAGGGCTCAGACAAGCCTGACCAATGAGGCATCTAGTTGTGCCAGAACTCTGCATAGGGCTCAGACAGGCCTGACCAATGTGGCATCTAGTTGTGCCAGAACTCTGCATAGGGCTCAGACAGGCCTGACCAATGTGGCATCTAGTTGTGCCAGAACTCTGCATAGGGCTCAGACAAGCCTGACCAATGTGGCATCTAGTTGTGCCAGAACTCTGCATAGGGCTCAGACAGGCCTGACCAATGTGGCATCTAGTTGTGCCAGAACTCTGCATAGGGCTCAGACAGGCCTGACCAATGTGGCATCTAGTTGTGCCAGAACTCTCCATAGGGCTCAGACAAGCCTGACCAATGTGGCATCTAGTTGTGCCAGAACTCTGCATAGGGCTCAGACAGGCCTGACCAATGTGGCATCTAGTTGTGCCAGAACTCTGCATAGGGCTCAGACAAGCCTGACCAATGTGGCTTTTAGTTGTGCCAGAACTCTGCATAGGGCTCCGACAAGCCTGACCAATATGGCATCTAGTTGTGCCAGAACTCTTCTGCTGATACTGGTACAAATAATTCAACAAATAATGATAAATTCAGTCTTCTGTATATCATTTATTTTCATCCTTTTGTAAAATGTTTATGCTGTACAAAAATAAAAATATGACAATTTCCTGTGTGAATATAGGGACAGCCTACAACTATTTGTATGTACACTACTTACAGTGAGTACAGTCAAGCTACATACATGCATACAGATATACAGTACAGTTTTAGAGTAACAGCCAAGCTACAAACATGGACTGACTAAATGACCGGTGCAGTGTAGCCCCGTAGGACACAGGGTACAGTTTTGGGTACAGTCAAGCTACAAACATGGACAAAGCAAGAGGCTGAAGCCGTGGAGCTCTGTACAAAACAGTGTACAGTTTGTGTGTACAGTCAAGCTACACAGATGGACTGACTAAAAGACCAGTGCAATGCCACCCTGTATGATACAGGGTACAGTTATGTGTAAGAGACTGATGCCAAAGAACTCTGTACACAGAAGCTGTACTCTTATTGTACAGTCTCGTTACAATGATGGAGTAAGATAGGTACAGTGTCACCCTGCATAATACAGGGTAGTGTTGTGAGCACACAAAGTAAGAGACCGGTACAGTGTTACAGTGTACAGACAAACTACATGACATACAAAGCAGTTTTAGTCGTACCCTCAACACTGAGACTGTCTCCAGCAGTCCAGCAGTCCAGCAGTCCAGCAGTCATAGCAGCAGTGGTGACAGTGGCGCTAACATTCTTCTGGAAACATGAACTCTCCAAGACTCAACATAGACACGAGATTCCATAACAGAAGAACTGGTTTTTGAATGCCCAATTTGCACCGACATTTTGAAATCAAAACATTATTAATGGTACTTACTTGTCAGCTATTTTTAGCAAATTGAAACAATTAATTTGAAGAATATTATGATGAGTTTCGAGATCTGTCACAAAAAACGATCAAGAAACGGAACCTGCATTGCATCCTCAATTCAGTATCAATGTATTGACATACGTTACATTGTGAAATGTACAACAAATAATTGACAGGTGATAAATTCTCTTTCAAATGTAATCACATGTTCAGTGAAATTGTTACTTCCTGAATATTAACAGAAAGTATTATGTTACAGATGACATTAGAATACTGGTTACTGATTATTACTAGATAATATATCATCTATTTGATGAATAGATAATTTATAATATGATCCAATATTGGAACTCTCACTATTCTCATTTCCAACCAATCAATTTCCAGGCAAAATATGACCAATTTCATTGCTATGTTAAAACATTTAATTTTTGGAAAAAAATGTTTTCGCAAGTAGAGCTTTTTACAATTTTACAATGAATTCATTTCTTAATGAGGTATTCAAAAACTCAGTCCGATGACACATGAAAATTGATAGCTTCGAAGGCAACAATATATAATGAGCAAAAACACTTCAACAGCTGAGCAAAATGCAACAACACTTACAAGTATTTCTCCTTCATTGTCAGAAATACTTGAAAGGCCACATAAAATATATGTTGTTTTTCATCATTTGAATTTTTGTTTTGTTTAAATAATCTAAATATGTTCTGTTTTACACAACCAAACTTGAGGAAAACACAAAAATATTGAGGCATAAAATATGTGTGACTACAATGATACAAAAAACTAAACATTTAAAGTCACAAGAATTTTCAGTTCATTCAATGATGAGGAACAACATACATTTTACTACGGCCTTATGACTCATTAATTAGTTCTTGTAAATGCACAGGGGGAGAAAATCAAAAAAGGATTTTAAAAAATGTCAGTACCCCATGTACAACATATCACATTTGCATACAAGCAGAACTTCCGACGTACAACACCTTATGAGGGATGTAAAAAGATATTAAAGCTACTCCCAGATGAAATAACTTAATAAATTAATGACAATATTTTTGCATAAGTTTCACAACCACCTGTGTCCGATGTTTCTGTAAAATGTTGCATGGAAAGTTCAGTAATGGACGGAGAGAAGCCAGAAATATATCTCGCTTTTCTTTGCATCCGTCAGAGCAAGCAGCATGACAATATCCTCAATGTATTCAGTCGATGAGTTTCTCAATCCAGGGTATTTTATCTCTATTCTATCATCATAAATACAATGCACCCATTCACCATCATAGCTTGGACCTATATTTTGTGCTCAGAGATAAAAGCGATGGAAATAGGGAATATGATGCTATGGTGGTGTAATGGACAAAGGTATTATAAACTGGATAATACTGGATGACTTAAATTGTTTAGTTCTATCTATCTTCCTGTGGTCACATTGAAGGTCATGAGGTCAAGGTCAGTGATTTGACACTGAAGGTGAAACTCCATGGGTCGTTAAGACGAACTTTTATCATCCAGACAAACTCTTCATAAATGCTAAGGTCATTAGGTCAAGGTCAATGATTTGACACTGAAGGTGAAACTCCAGAGGTCATTAAGATGAACTTTAAACATTCGGACAACCTCTGCATAAACGCTAAGGTCATTAGGTGAAGGGCATTGATTTGACACTGAAGGTGAAACACCTTAGATCATGAAGACGTAACTTTATCATCCTGTCAAAATCTGTATGATCACTATGGTCTAACAATGGTCTAACAATGGTCTAGTGGTCTTGTAGCCTATGTAACCTACATTCTAGAAACCAAGGCTCACCTTATAAGTGATGATGTTTCATACCCCATTACGCAGAAATGTGTTCTAACTGAGCAGACCAATTTCTGAAGCATCTGTAAAGTAGCATGTGGTCAACTACTGGTCCAAATAGATTGTCATTCAAAAACACATTACCCGATTCTTATGAGGGAAGTGGTCAACTTATGCTGATAAATGGATTAAGTATGAACTTTATGAATAAAATATGATCATAAGAATAATGATTGAAAAAATATGCAGTGGTGCTGAATTGTAAATATTGAAACAAAACGATAACATGTTTTTTTATTCTTCACAACACTTGAAACAGTACTGGTAATCTAACTCAAAGTTTGGTAAACTGCAGCTGAGCCAATCTGACAATACTCCTGAAAGTGAGTGAGTGAGTTTACACTGCTTTTAGCAATATCTCAGCAATATCAGGTCAGGGGACACCAGAAATGGGTTTCACATAAGAGGGGAATTGAACCCGGGTCATCGGCGTGACGAGAGAACGCTTTAACAAGTAGGCTGCCCCATACTTCTGAAACCCAGATTACATGACATACAAACCAACAAAGAATTCTGTTGTAACTGTATCATGAAACCTTAGGTGACCATGGACAAGCAAAACCCAGAATTGTTTTCCAGAAATATACCATAATGAGTTAGTGAGTTGGGTTTAACACCACTTGGAAATGTACCATTTATATCATTTGTATCTCAATGTGGAAGGAAAGTCTGAAGTGATGGGGGATATCAGACATTTACCAGTTTGGTGAAATCCAGGAGCATGGGTATGGTACTGACAACGTAGAAACGTAATCAGAGAGAGATTCAAACCCATGATCACAGATTCCTGGCATACCACAGGGAAGCAACTCTGCACAGCAAATGTAGCAACTTAGACCTGGGATATCTGTAAATCTAGTACTATGACGAAAACCCAACAGTAAATATACATTCTAAAATGGCCATGGGTTTTCACGGCCCTTCCAATTATAGCATTATGTTCTTCAGTAACCTTTGTCCACTATGTAATAATGTTTAGTGATCCTCTCCATGACGGTTCAGTTTGTTCTCAATTATCCAGTCAATATTTTTATATAATGGCAGCCAATATCATTTCTGACTGATTTTTCAAATGTTGGCTTGAAATCTGATAATTGATTCATGTGGATTTTCTACAAGATTACCACATGAAACGAAATAGCTTCAAAACTGAATACCATTCTCCTGTCAATAAACAAGAATATTTGAATCTAGCTGATGGAAGTGTCTGCGCGCTTCACTTCGAGTTAGTTCACCAGTATTTATTATGAGCCGAGGTTTTGTTGATTTGAGCGTTTTCAATAAATAACATATCTGTGTCTGATTTGGAAAACAGAAACCTTTCTGAGCAATGTCTGCATGTCATTATCGTCTTGATTGACAATAACTCAATGGATTCATGTAATGATTCTATAGTCCTTAATGATCTAAATCATTTTTATGAATGTTTCTCATACCTTATTCAATTAAATGACATAGCCTTTTTGACTAATACCATAACTATCCTGAACACAACAAGTTAGGGATCATGACATATTTTAAGGGCTATTCTTTAGTTGTGAAGCCTGAGCTCACATCGAGAAATACATGTCCCAATCCTATAGTTTATAAATGCTGGAATTCTTTTGTTCAGTTACAGCCATCAACATAACTTGTAAACTATCAGTCCATCAATAACTGAAACTATCAATTCTTTCCATTTCAATTACAAATATTATCAAAGGGAGATGAATGATGTAAAAAACTTCCCACCACTAAAAATAAATGAATAAATTTCATATAGAATTGAATACTATGTGAAATATTCAGTGAATATTGCAAATATAAAATATATACTTGCTGGAATAATGTCTTACAAGTGCTTCCTATGAGGAAGGGTTAAGATTATCATTGTTAATCAAACACACAATGCGTCATGATAACTTTCAACAGTGATTCCCATTCACCCAAAGTCACATCCTTTTTGATTATATAGAGTTCATGGTAATGTGTGTGTGTATCCTTACTAAATGCATGTTGACACTGGTAAGGAGAAACAATATGTAGATGGACACATACTGTCTGTTAAGTCAAATCCAGATGGACACATACTGTCAAGACAAATCCAGATGGACACATCCTGTCTGTCAAGACACACCCAGATGGACAAATCCTGTCAAGACACATCCAGATGGACACATCCTGTATGTCAAGACACACCCAGATGGTCACATCCTGTCAAGACACATCCAGATGGACACATACTGTCAAGACACATCCAGATGGACACATCCCGTCAAGACACACCTAGATGGACACATCCTGTGAAGACATATCCGATTGACACCTCCTGTCTGTCAAGACACACCCAGATGGACACATACCATCTGTCAAGAGGACTCCAGTTGGACACATCCTGTCAAGAAAAATCCAGATGACACATCCTGTCAAGAAAACTACAGATGACACATCCTGTGTGTCCAGACACAGCCAGATGGACGCATATCTCAACTCAGTGGTGCCTTTTCACTTTTAACTCCATTATGAGGTAAGATCTAGGAAAAAATCTAACACTATGGAATCATGAATTGACTTTCATCCCAGAAAACACTTTGATCAAAGATCACACTTTTGCCGAACTTGGGTCTGTTATTGTCTGTACTGGCCTTCGACCCGCTATGGCGGGATATTTGGGGTCTCTATATGCTCTGGCAGGGTCTCCATAAAAATTGGGCCCCGTTTTTCGGATTAAGTCTTGTGAAGGCTGTCTGTCTGTTGACATTGGTAAAGTCTGGCTGCGTTTGGTACCACTCATCTGCATACTGTTGAGGTCCACGTGATGAGGGCCGATCGGGGTGAGGGGGGTCAGGATACTGCCCCACCCCCCGAGACTGCGGACGGTCCCTCTGGTGGGGGTAGTTGTTGTGTGAGAAGTGTGAGTGCTGACTCTGATCGGAGTAGCTGCTGGTGTCACTGACGCTGGGATACTGATGGAAGTTGGAGGCACTGTCGTGGGATCCCATTCGAACATGCGCAACTCTGGGGAGAGAGGGATAAAAATTAGTTTACAGTGAGTGATGGAGTGAGTGAATGAATGAATGGTCATGTGATTAACTGAGTTAGTGAGTGAATGATCAAAAGAGTGAGTGATCAAGTGAGTGATCAAATGAGTGAGTGAGTGAGTGAGTGATGGTTCCAGCAACATCACGCAGGGGACACCAGAATGGGCTGCACACATCGTACGTATATGGTGAATCGAACCTGGGTCTTCGGCAATGATTGACAGCATTGACCCGATCCCTTTAGTTGCCTCTTACGACAAGCATGGGTTGCTGAAGACCAAGTCTAACCCGGATCTTCATGGGTGGCATATGAAATGTCTGCCTGACTGTGATGAACAATGTCGTGGACGTACCTCTCCATCTCTGTCCGACTCGGTGGCCTCAGTCGTCCGGCAAGCTCCCTCTCTCTTTCCATTATCCTCTGCAACAACATCAGATATGACGTGATGAGTGTAATCATAGATATATACACTATATGTGTGGACTGCATTGTCAATACTGACACACTGAAGTCAGGTATCTCACCCTTCCACCATGTGATCAGTGAACCTGTCAACCAAATGATCATTTAATACATCAACCTCTCCACCTTCTCTGATAGATCAACCACTCAACCATCTGGTCCATCGACCTTTCAACCACCTCTGATAGAACCTGTCAAACATGTAATCAATCAATCTCACATCCATCTGATCTATCAACATCTCAACCATCTGATCCATCAACATCTCAACCATCTGATCCATCAAATTCTCAACCATCTCTGATCCATCAACCTCTCAACCATCTCTGAATGATCAACCTCTCAACCATCTCTGATCCATCAACCTCAACCTTCTGATCCATCAACTTCTCAACTATCTCTGATCCATCAACTTCACAACCATCTGATCCATCAACCTCAAGCAGCTGATCCATCAACTTCTCAACCTTCTGTTAATGATCAACCTCACATCCATTTCTGAGCGACCAACCTTGCAACTATCTGAGCAATCAAGTTCTTAACCATCTCTGAGGTATCACCTTTTCAATCATTTGGTCCATCAACCTGTCAACCATCTGATCAATCAACCTGCAAACTATCTCTGATTGATCGATCAACCATATGGCCCTCTCAACCATTTCTGATAAATTACTTAGTCAACTATTTCTGTCTAATCAACTTGTCAACCATCTCTGACCCATCAACCTTTCATCCATCTGATCTATCAATGCACAGATCCATCAACTACCTCTCATATCAACCTATCAACCAAGTCATCCAGTCAACAACCTTATAAACCAATTTGGCAACCATCTGACAATTCATCATCATCATCATCATCATCATCATCATCATCATCATCATCTCCCAACTGCCATACACAACTCTTCAACACCACCAACCTTTCTTTCTTCTTCTTGAATCTGTCTCTCATAGAACTCTTCTGCGTCCTCGTGTGGGTACTGCCCATGACGATCCCGGTGTTGTTGCTGATGATGGACCCTAAGCTGTTGTATTTTCTCTGCCCTACTCTGTCCCCCTCGCTGATCTGCTCTGCCCATTCCCCGATCTGCGGGTTGGGAAAACCCCTCCTGAATATACTGAGGGTCATAAAACATTGGTCGGTTCTCCTGCATCAGCTTTTGCTGCTGGTCTATCAGCTGCTGTTGTTTCAGCTGTTGTTTCAGTTGCTGCTGTTTTTGTTGTTCCAGCTGCTGTTGTTTTTGTTGCTCAAGTATCTCCATCTGCTGACGTTCTTTTGGCCTCGAACTCTCTTATCCTGCAAGAAGTCCATTATTGTTTAGTCTGTTTACATTGCTACAACAGTACTTTGGTTCAGGGGTGACTTTTAGGGGCATGTGATGTGTGTTGTTTTGTCTAAACCAATCCAGTGACTGATCAGAAGCTTAAAGGACAATAAAAGATATCATCTTCAGAACAGTTCATAGCATATTAACTAGGACTATAACGATGCATCAAACTATCGATGGATTGCAATTATTGAGTCTCCGACAGCAATTAATCGTTCGCAGAAACGAAAAACAATTGATGCATCGATAGTATGCGTGACTATCGATTGTTTAGTAATTGACTTCCGTTGATAAATATGCAGCAGAAAATACAGGAAGTACCAGATTAGTTCACTTTGATTTAGAGTTATCCGCCCCTGTTACCTCTTAAACAAACTTTATCTGGGTTTCAAGTTTCTTGTCAGTTACTGAAAGAGACTGAAACTACTTCAACTTGTTTTTATGTCATATAAACTGTACATTCATTTGGGAAATGACTTCAAATGAGACAATTCAAGGAGAGAAAAAAACTATTACAATAGTACTACAATAGTTGGTCGCAATACTTGCTTTCCCCTCTATAGTCACCCCAAATATTAACCATTCAGCAGTAATCTTCAAGGAGTGAGTTGTCCCGCTTTTACATAAGACAGCAGGGGATTGAGTGAGTATGGATTTACTCCACTTTTAGCAATATTCCAGCGAGGGACACCAGAAAGAGATTCACACATTGTACCCATGTGAGGAATCAAACCTGGATCTACGGTGTGACAAGTCAACACTTTAACCACTAGGCTACCCCACCACCCTTGGGTGTGGTAGCCTAGTGGTTAAAGCATTCACTCGTGACACTGAAGACCCGATTCTGAACAACGGTACAATGTGTGAAGAACATTTCTGATGTCCCTGCTGTCATATTGCTGGAATGTTGCTAAAAGCAGCGTACAACTAAACTCACTCACTCGGGTCGAAACTGAGGCAATCTTACCTGTCCTGTTCTTGTTGTGCCAGCACAAGCCTCTCTTGCTCCAGCTGTCGGGCTCGGACATCGCTGTCAGAAGGTCGTTCCGCTGATCTTGACCTCCGAACATTCTCCTCGTTTGATTTGCGTCCTTTACTCAGCCTAAAGTAGAATTGTTGCGATATTTCCATCAACATGAACATGGCAAATGAAGATTGTTTCAGGCATCACAGAAGAAGAGAATATGGCTTCTTCAAAAGGTAAGAAGCTGACACAACTGTTTTATCCAGCTTAGGTATAGGATGTAAGACTTATATCCAGCTTAGGTATAGGATGTAAGACTATCAATCTAATAGTCATGTTGTACCCACCAAATGTGCCCGTGTGTCCCCATCTCCAGCCCATGGTGTACTCCCCTGATGTGTCCCCATCTCCAGCCTTGGTGTACCCACCAAATGTGCCCCTGTGTGTCCCCTGATCTCCAGCCGGTATACTCATCCTGATGTGTCCCCTGATCTCCAACCACGGTATACTCATCCTGATGTGTCCCCTGATCTCCAACCCACGATGTACTCACCTGATAAGTCTGTGTCCCCTGATATCCAGCCCTTGTGTACCCACCTGATGTGCCCTGTGTATCCCCTGATCTCCAGCCATGTTGTACACACCTGATAAGCCCCTTGAGGATACCCCCGCCTTTCTTGTCTTTGTGCTTCTTTTTCCTGAGACTGTGGAAGTCTTCGTTGGTGTTCTCGCTACTGAAGGAAGACCTGGCCGAGTTTGATTGTGTCTGATTAAGGGAACCGCTCTCCATGCTCTCTTCCTCCACTGAAACAGGAGAAGTGTGTCCATCACACAACTAAAGCCAGATTGTGTCAATCACTATTTACATGGAACAGGTGAGTGACATTCATTATTCCACTTCAAGGTGTGCTCCAATCACTCTATAACAATCAGGTGAGTGACAATCACAATGTCAAATAATCGTTAACTAATATGTGTATGTCAATCATTACTCACTGAATTGAGTTAATCATTCAAACAAATCAAGTATCGCAAAAGATGAATCAATATTAGAAGAATCATAAAAATAACACAAAAGAACCAAAATATTTTGTCATACTTCTATAACTGTCTTTTTGAATACTTAAGATAAAAACATTTCTTGCAAACAAAATTGCAAACTTATTGTTTTCAGAATATACCTTTTTAAAACTTGATGACAGTTTTATTTCCATCATCACTGCCTTAACACTGACCCACCATAATTATGTAACAATATTTTCAGTATCGAAGTCCAAGTTTTCAGATGGATTAATGTTTGAACAGTACATCCCATGCACTTGAACTGAAACAACATTGAAAACTACCAACTTCTTCTAAGGGAAAGGTGGACACCCTCTTTAACAGTCCCATGCAAACATCATGCACAAACACAAGGCATTGATTAATATGCTAGCTCTTGTCATAGTGAGTGAGTTTAGGTTTATGCTGCTTTTAGCAATATTCCAGCAATATCACGGCAGGGGACACCAGAAATGGGCATTGTACTCATGTGGGGAATCGAACCTGGATCTTCGACGTGACGAGCAAACGCTTTAACCACTAGGCTACCCCACCGCTCCTCAAAATGGTGAGACTGCCCAGTGAGCGGTCAACACCATGAGCCTCATAAAAATTTAGGCCTACACGTAATTATTGGCTTCACACATTGTACCCATGTGATATTGCTGGAAATTCAAAGCGTAAAACTAAACTCAGTCAGTCAGTCAGTGTACCCATGTGAGGGAATCAAACCTGGGTCTTGGCATGATGAGCTGTATCCACTAGGCCACCTACCACCCCAGCTCTTGTCATAAGGGGTTATGTACTTGTATAGCAGCTTTGATCAACTTTCAAATACAGAACTCCAGATATGACTTAGCTCGCTCATGTGGGTACTGTACCCACTGTATGTTTTGGATTGGGTATTTAGAATGTTGAGTGGGTATTTCATTTTCCGTTACCCACTGCTTTCAAATATGTGCGTGTCATTTTACTCACCTAAGTATTATGTCATTGAGTAAGTTTACTAAGCAGGTATGTTCTGCCTGATGTCATACCTAATCAAAACCAACTTAAATATAATGGAAATGATTTCATAAAAAATCACTCATCCTGGACTGACAGTACAACACTTGTCCTATACTAACAGTACAACTATGTGATTTAACATTTTTTAATCGTGAATTGGTAGTGCTTAACAATTATTTTTCAATGTGTAATTTGAAATTTTCTATGCATATTTTTACCCGGATACTCAGCTTATCTGGGCCTCTGCAAATATATGTTTTTCTCTTTTAAAGATTAAAGATGGGTTTCTTTTTTTCAGCTATAACAGAAATGCATAATACCCAAAATAATCATGAACACAAAAATGAAACTAAAAATGATAGAGGTAAGTACCCACGGTACAAAATACGTGTGAAAAGTCATCCCTTTACCCCTGTGCCTTGAAGAGAGCAAAACAGACTTAACACACCCAAAACCTACAAGGATATTTAGATGCTAGGCGTTCACATTTATATAAATAATTTTATAGTCTATTTTCATATTTTCATATTGTTCTATGTAGGTAGCTATGTGTTTTGCCTTAAAATAGTCTCTTATGACTCCAGAAGCAGTGGCTTGTATATTTTACAGAAGTTTATAAAATGTATAATGTATATATATGTACAAGGTGAGACTCTAATAAAATAGTCTATGTGTCTGTCTGTCTGTCTCATAACTGCACGAGTAAAACAGACTTATGACAGTGATAACTCCTAGAGTAAAAGTCTTATAACAGTGATAACTCCTAGAGTAAAACTGACTTATAACAAGCCCAAAGTGAAGGAAAACCAAGTTCTATGGGTAGTCAACTTGTTTATTGCAATGAGTGTGACTTTTTCGGGTGTAGGTACTAAGCAAGATTGATAGTGTTAGTGTCTACACCCTAAATGTCGCACTCATTGCAAAGAAGTTGGCTATCCATATAAGCGTGGTTTTCTTTCATCTTCACAACTTCTAACATGCCTCTCAAAGAAGCCCAAGTGATCCAACCCAGTACCATAACAAGGGTTAACCCAGATTTAAACCCACAATTGTAGGTTTCCTGGGTGCCCAATCCACACAACCAATTGTGCTGCCTCAGATGATAAGTGATAAGAAAGGTGGAATTTCATTGGTCAATAGGAGACACAATGAAGGGACATAACTCATAATACCACCTAAACAGTCATCAGAAAAAGTTACCTCCCATCAAGGGTGGAACCTAGGCCAATTCCAGTTACCTGGGCTTAACCTTGTGCCCATGCCTCGAGATAATGTATAACTAAACATGAACTTGGTCTTCATCAATAGTTAACTAGTATGCAATACAACAGTTCAGTTTCCTTACTGGTAGAAAACTGGTGGAACATTATTCAGATGCAATCAACAATTATTAGCATAATGCTGAAGAAAAGCAAGTAACATTTTTAGTATTTCTCATGTATATTTGCACATTCCTGATTAATGATAAATGTTATTTAAATCATCAGTCAATGACAACACTTGGTTACCATGGTTACTCGGAGTTTTAGTCAAATAAAGTGATCAGTTCATCACACATGTTAATGTCAGGCTTCAAGAAAAGGGAGAGAACTCCCAATTCATTCTTCAGGAAAGGGAGACAGTCACGGTTACTATGACAACACAAAACAGACCCTACACCACTGGGACAAGTAAAAATGTCTTACCATAACCAGCTGCCAAACAGAAAACAACAGTTGGACATCATGAGTAGCGATACAGGAAATATCCAAGTGACGTCACATTTAGACATTCAGCTGTTCATGCACACCAAAGTCAACTCGTGTAGTCAGACACCATTGTGTTGAAGTTGAAGGACCTAAATACTTTCAGTTATTTGAGGTTCAACACGGCCACAAAAAGATGACTTAAAAAATGTGAGTTTAATTTTACGCCACTTTTAGCAATTTTCCAGCAATATCACAGCAGGGGACTCCAGAAATGGGCTTCACGCATTCTACCCATGTGGGGAATCAAACCATGGTCTTCAGTGTGACGAGTGAATACTTTAACCACTACGCTACCCCACTGCCATAACTTAACAAAGAAACGATGGAAATAATTTCCATGCATCAATCTTTAACACAATGGTGTCCATGATAGGATTTTAACCTATCCTCAGCACAATATAATACTATCAGGTTTGAGGACTAGTGTGAATTTCAATGGCTGACGAAGTTTACTGTTGTGTTTAGGAAACAGAAAGATTTTCTATAATAAAAACCAAAACAACACTAACAACCTTCTGATTATTCCAGTAGGGATCGTCACACTGAATCATATTTTTTGCTGCAATAACCAATATTCAACCTATGTCACAGAACCATGGCAGGGGTACCCATGAAGATCCGGGTTAGAATATTGATCTTCAGTAAACCATGCTCGTCGTAAACGGCGACTAACGGGATCGGGTGGTCAGGCTCGCTGACTTGGTTGACACGTCGTCGTATCCCAACTGCATAGACTGATGCTTATGCTGTTGATCACTGGATTGTTTGGTCAAGACTCGATTATTTCCAGACCGCCGCCATATAGCTGGAATATTGCTGAGTGTGGTTTTTAACAACAAACCAACCAACCCTGCTGGGGAGTGGCCGGTAGCATCCATCAAGGGAACTAACAACCAACCCTGCAGGGGAGTGGCCGATAGCATCCATCAAGGGAACTAACAACCAACCCTGCAGGGGAGTGGCCGGTAGCATCCATCAAGGGAACTAACAACCAACCCTGCAGGGGAGTGGCCGGTAGCATCCATCAAGGGAACTAACAACCAGCCCTGCAGGGGAGTGGCCGGTAGCATCCATTAAGGGAACTAACCAACCAACCCCGCAGGGGAGTGGCCGATAGCATCCATCAAGGGAACTAACAACCAGCCCTGCAGGGGAGTGGCCAATAGCATCCCTCAAGGGAACTAACAACCAGCCCTGCAGGGGAGTGGCCGATAGCATCCATTAAGGGAACTAACAACCAACCCTGCAGGGGAGCGGCCAATAGCATCCATCAAGGGAACTAACCAACCAACCCCGCAGGGGAGTGGCCGATAGCATCCATCAAGGGAACTAACAACCAGCCCTGCAGGGGAGTGGCCAATAGCATCCCTCAAGGGAACTAACAACCAGCCCTGCAGGGGAGTGGCCGATAGCATCCCTCAAGGGAACTAACAACCAGCCCTGCAGGGGAGTGGCCGATAGCATCCATCAAGGGAACTAACAATTTTTTGTGCATGGTTGACGCAAGTGTGGATACAGCTCTTTGGAAAAGGAAACATGTATACTATTCACACTTTGCTAAGGATCAGATCATTGATTCAACAGAAAACTATGATGTCGGGTCTAATTTGGTTTAAGTATCTAAGCTTATTGTAAGCATGGATCCTAGGTTTCAATATGTCAGTACATCCGGTGGATCCCATACCTGCTATTGACAGGTGTTGAGTACTTGTCAATGACTCGTTCCATGATTTGCAAAATGGTTGATTGGTGCCATGAAAACCATTTTTATGGTTACTCATGTATCAAGTGCATAAGGTTAAATTAAAGTGACTGTTTGCCTAAAGAGGGGTTTCAAATAAAAAATCTATGTTTAAGTAAAGTTGGGAATTTTTGTGATCCTTAGCAAAGTGTGAGTAGTATATTTTATGATCAGTATTGATATCTCCCTTGGGCGGACCATGGTACAGGGATTAAACGTGCTTCGTGGGCTCAGGTTATTGAAATACAGCTGACTTTGGTGGCATGAATAAGCAGCTATAGGTACCGGTAAGCACACTGATAAGTTAGTGGGTTATTAAGTACATTAACATCAACGGCATAACATCTTTTAAAGTAGACAACAACCGTTATGTACAATAAAAACTCAACATAAAGACAAGACATTTTCAAAATATTCTTTCACAAAAAGACTTTCCGCCAAGAGTCACCTTTAAATGTTAGTTGTGTTAGTATGTGACCTTCATGCCAAAATCAACCCTGATACTACTTTCCCCAAAACATAAAATACCATCCATAAAATGATTAATATTTACACAAAATGATAAACCACTCTGAAACTCCAAGACAATTGTTGTTAAAAATGTTGGACAATGTTATGTATAGGTCTTACAAGTATCCATAACGTTATGATCCGGCGTTGGGGCATCGTAGGACCGATCAACTGCAGCCCGGAAACTATCGTTGCAGGCACGGGGGTCGACCAATGCGAGCAAACCGCCATGCTGGTATCTCCTCTACCTCCATCTGTGGGACGTTATCAGAGGCCAGGTCTTCGAAAGAGGACGAACGTTTGAGGTTTGACTGCCGAGTCTGGGCTTGAGGAAAGGGGGCGATTGTGTTGACCTGAAACATGATTGTGTTGAACTGAAGCATGATTGCATTGACCTGAAACATGATTGCATTGACCTGAAACATGATTGTATTGACAGATGTCTGCAAATCTGTGACTCCATTATAACAATATCACTACACACAGGTGAAGACCTGTTATTTCTTTAGTGTGTGTCTGCACAACTCCAACTTAACCCTTCTGGTATCTTAATGATTTACACTTGATTGTAACATGTTGGGTTTTATGATGTTGACTAGCAGATGTCACACTATCATTTTGTGGAAGCTGTGGGGGTTGAGAGGTTTAGATCGATGACTTTGTATGAGAGGATATCAAAAAGTTCTAATTATCGCCATGAATTTATTGAGAAATTATGATAAAAATTTGAAGGTAACATCAGTGATCCTTATCTAGTTAATGGACCAAAAACTATTTACATCACTTTATTTAATCATGTGTTTGTTCATCCAAATCATGAGTAAGCCCATGTATGGAGAAAATTGAGACAGGCAGCATTATCAAGTTTTTGCACTTGAAGGGTAGCACTGCCAGACAGATTCACGAGGAGATGAAGTCTGTTTATGGTGAAGATAGTCCATCTTATACTGTTGTGAGATGGAAAAGCCATTTTTAAACCAGTCATATGTCCGTCACAGTTGAGCCAGGATGTGGGCTCCGTTTTAACGATACCAATGAGGTCATTGAAGAGGTGGAGGGTTGGTTTTCCATGAAATCAGGGGGGTCTATTCAAGTGTCAAGGTCAAGAAATGTTGTCATTCTGGATGGTGACTATGTAGAGAAGTCTTAAGGTCAAGAAACGTTGAGAGAAATGTGTCACTCTGGATGATGACTATGTAGAGAAGTCTTAAGGTCAAGAAACGTTGAGAGAAATGTGTCACTCTGGATGATGACTATGTAGAGAAGTCTTAAGGTCAAGAAACGTTGAGAGAAATGTGTCACTCTGGATGGTGACTATGTAGAGAAGTCTTAAGGTCAAGAAACGTTGAGAGAAATGTGTCACTCTGGATGGTGACTATGTAGAGAAGTCTTAAGGTCAAGAAACGTTGAGAGAAATGTTGTCATTCTGGATGATGACTATGTAGAGAAGTCTTAAGGTCAAGAAACGTTGAGAGAAATGTGTCACTCTGGATGGTGACTATGTAGAGAAGTCTTAAGGTCAAGAAACGTTGAGAGAAATGTGTCACTCTGGATGATGACTATGTAGAGAAGTCTTAAGGTCAAGAAAGCGTTGAGAGAAATGTGTCACTCTGGATGGTGACTATGTAGAGAAGTCTTAAGGTCAAGAAACGTTGAGAGAAATGTGTCACTCTGGATGATGACTATGTAGAGAAGTCTTAAGGTCAAGAAACGTTGAGAGAAATGTGTCACTCTGGATGATGACTATGTAGAGAAGTCTTAAGGTCAAGAAACGTTGAGAGAAATGTGTCACTCTGGATGGTGACTATGTAGAGAAGTCTTAAGGTCAAGAAACGTTGAGAGAAATGTGTCACTCTGGATGGTGACTATGTAGAGAAGTCTTAAGGTCAAGAAAGCGTTGAGAGAAATGTGTCACTCTGGATGGTGACTATGTAGAGAAGTCTTAAGGTCAAGAAACGTTGAGAGAAATGTGTCACTCTGGATGGTGACTATGTAGAGAAGTCTTAAGGTCAAGAAACGTTGAGAGAAATGTGTCACTCTGGATGGTGACTATGTAGAGAAGTCTTAAGGTCAAGAAGCGTTGAGAGAAATGTGTCACTCTGGATGGTGACTATGTAGAGAAGTCTTAAGGTCAAGAAGCGTTGAGAGAAATGTGTCACTCTGGATGGTGACTATGTAGAGAAGTCTAGAAGAGAAGTCTTAAGGTCAAGAGAACGTTGAGGAGAAGCGTTGAGAGAAATGTGTCACTCTGGATGGTGACTATGTAGAGAAGTCTTAAGGTCAAGAAACGTTGAGAGAAATGTGTCACTCTGGATGGTGACTATGTAGAGAAGTCTTAAGGTCAAGAAACGTTGAGAGAAATGTGTCACTCTGGATGGTGACTATGTAGAGAAGTCTTAAGGTCAAGAAACGTTGAGAGAAATGTGTCACTCTGGATGGTGACTATGTAGAGAAGTCTTAAGGTCAAGAAACGTTGAGAGAAATGTGTCACTCTGGATGGTGACTATGTAGAGAAGTCTTAAGGTCAAGAAACGTTGAGAGAAATGTGTCACTCTGGATGGTGACTATGTAGAGAAGTCTTAAGGTCAAGAAGCGTTGAGAGAAATGTGTCACTCTGGATGATGTGACTATGTATGTAGAAGTCTTAAGGTCAAGAAACGTTGAGAGAAATGTGTCACTCTGGATGGTGACTAAGAGAAGTCTTAAGGTCAAGCGTTGAGAGAAAGCGTTGAGAGAAATGTGTCACTCTGGATGATGACTATGTAGAGAAGTCTTAAGGTCAAGAAGCGTTGAGAGAGAAATGTGTCACTCTGGATGGTGACTATGTAGAGAAGTCTTAAGGTCAAGAAACGTTGAGAGAAATGTGTCACTCTGGATGATGACTATGTAGAGAAGTCTTAAGGTCAAGAAAGCGTTGAGAGAAATGTGTCACTCTGGATGGTGACTATGTAGAGAAGTCTTAAGGTCAAGAAACGTTGAGAGAAATGTGTCACTCTGGATGATGACTATGTAGAGAAGTCTTAAGGTCAAGAAACGTTGAGAGAAATGTGTCACTCTGGATGGTGACTATGTAGAGAAGTCTTAAGGTCAAGAAACGTTGAGAGAAATGTGTCACTCTGGATGGTGACTATGTAGAGAAGTCTTAAGGTCAAGAAATCAAAATAAAGTTTCTACCCTGAATACTTCTCGGTGATAATTAGAAATTTTTGATACCCCCTCATTTGCTGGTAATTAGGTGCCTGACTCTGAGAGTGAGGGTCATAAGTCATAAGACTTCTTATAAATAATTTACATGGAAGTCAATATTTCCTATGTATTTTAGAGACTTTTTGAATACTGAAAACAACAGGACTATTATCAAAAACGGTATAGTATCATTGACATTTGGACTAAAACTTTTTTGACAAGTGCTCAATCTCTTGACCACAAATTCTACTTGCTGGGTATGATTTTCATTAGCAATTTCAATATAAACTACCTTTTGTTCCTGGCACACTTATTACAGTGAATATGGTAATGATTCAATCCAAAACAGTATGGTATATCATCCCAGCCTTCGATATGTATAAATATAAAGATTCAAACACTATGAATACACAGTACATGCATATATACTGAACACAAAAAGTTAGGGATCATGAATGTTTTGGGAGACATTTTGATGAAATGCTGTGCTTAGCCTTAACAGCTGAAAATATTCCCCCAAAGTAATACATTGTAATAATACCACACCTTTTTGTTCAGTTCAACACATAAAGATAATTCCAACCCATAAAACATATAAAAACAAATGATATTGCATTTTCACATATGTATATATAATCCAAGAATGAATTATTCAAAACAACAGCTATTGCTTTATTATTCTGAATATATATTTTGATATATTCAAGATTCTGTCATATATACAGATATATCACTCTTAGGGTCCAATCGTCAAGTGATACAAATGGTTTATTTACTTAATGAGATATATTCATGCATGTGGATATACTGATATATCAGTCTGAGATACCATCGTTTAGTAATATAATTGGTTTATTTATTTAATGAGATGTATTCATGCATCTTTAGGTGGACATACTGATATATCAGTCTGAGATACCATCGTTTAGTGAGACGATGGGACCAGCTGCAATGACCAGCATGCTTGTGTCAACTTGAACATTATGTCTCCATTACACTGGAAGGTTTGTTGTTCTGCAACCTGATGGCAGCAGGTGAGTTAGCGAGTTTAGTTTTACACAGTTTTTAGCAATATTCTAGCAATATCACAGCAGGGGTCACCAGAAATGGGCTTCACACATTGTACCCATGTCAGGAATCGAACAAGTGTTTTCGGCCTGATGAGCAAACGCTTTAACCACTCGGCTATCATACAGCCCTGATACCAGAGGGAATGACAAGGGAGCATAGGTGATTTTGGTTGTGGTGGCTTTTGGTTTTGGTCCGGGTCCGGGTCCGGGTTTGGGTCCGGGTTTGGGTCTGGGTATGGGTCTGGGTATGGGTCTGGGTCCGGGTTTGGGTCCGGGTCTGGGTTTGGGTCCGGGTCCGGGTTTGGGTTTGGGTCCGGGTTTGGGTCTGGGTCTGGGTCCGGGTCCGGGTCCGGGTCCGGGTTTGGGTCCGGGTCTGGGTTTGGGTTTGGGTCCGGGTTTGGGTGTGGGTTTGGGTCCGGGTCCGGGTCCGGGGGTGTGTTATTAGGGTTGAGGTTGGGGCTGCTCATGGCTATGTCTGGGCTGTGGGGTAGGTGGGTGTTAGGGTTAATGTCGTGTTGGGGTGGAGTGGTGTTGATAGTGGTGCAAATGACAAGGGAGCATTGATGATTTCGGATCAATGTTTAGCACTTTGGTTAGGCCGATGTGTTGCCTGTAAACAAGACTCCCCGTGGTGCTACAGAACAGTGAGCTGGACGATATCTCCTACATGATAGCATCGATATAGCCTGATGAAGCGTGCTGGTCACTTATTGGTCAGTGTACATACTGGGGTGGGTGGGTTCATGCAGGTTGTTGTTAGTTCTATTGGACAAAAGAGACTCCATGGACCCACTGGATTTCAGTCTTGGTGAGTCTTCATGCATGTCGGAGGTCTCGGCCATGCCTGTTGATAAACGCATGCTTGTTAGCAACAATGAACAGTTAGAACAACATGGCTCATACATGCTTTAAAAACAAAACTCAAATTATACACTGGCGAAAACCATATTGTTGATCATATAATTTCATAAACGGGTCATTTCAACTTTTGAATGTTTAATGACAGTTTGAAAAATTTCTTAAATTTCAGGATAATTTTCTCATTTTTCACTATTTCACAAAAGAGCCGTAGCAAGTATCATAGCTGACTAGTGGGGCTGAGTAAGTGAGTGAGTGAGTGATTGTGTTTGATGCTGAATTGAACGCTATTTCAGTCATATCACAATGTGTCAGCTTGAAGTGGGAGGGCAACCCCTTGAACAATGACCACATTGGTGAAACCAATAGTGCTGACTGATATCACTCAGGGCCAGTCTGGGAAAGCCCTGATCAACATATTCTGGCACAACAAGGGGAAGCAACTCTTCATAGGGTTCTGCCTCAGCACAGACAACTGATTAGAAAAGGTGTGATTTTCTATGTAAGTAACCAAAGTGTTACAAATCCCCAAGTTAAAAAGCATCGAAAGTATAGACAGTGTTTGTGATTTATTAGATGTACAGCCTTGGGATCAAACTGGGCCCACTTGCACAAAGTGATCTTAGTGCTATTTTGATCTGGAAACACTTTTGCTCTAACTGTGTACAACTGTAGGGCTAAAACTGCTTTGTGCAACTGGGCCCTGGTAGACAGTAACATAGTAACTTGTTACAGTGATTGTGAATTATTGCATATACAATATATTGATTAGATAGGTGACAAGATTATTCTTTGATGGGGCGGCTATGTAAACTACTTTGTATATTACAAAACAAGTTGGTATAGGAGGGCGTCACTTATATGGTTAAGCATCATGAAATTTGGTATAGATTACATAATCAACGATTATAACACAACAATAAAAACAATATTCACATGGGGTGATGTCAATAGCTCAAATGTCTTTTTACTGTATTTCATTTCTGATTTTGAGATGGTCCCTAAAATATTTAACATATTTTGAAATATAAAAAATAATAATGTATTTTGTCTGAATTTAAATTGAAAAAGAAGGAGCTTTTGACATATGCATCATGCACAGACATGGAATATAATTAATAGCTATGAACACACAACTAACATGACAAGATGTGAATATTCTGTAGTTACACCATGATGCAGGTGTGTATATAGTGCTATATACAACATCAATCACATGTACATATCACATTCGAGCACTATCATGTGTGTCTATTGTGTTATATACAACATCAATCATATGTACATATCACATTGCTACTGGAAGTGTTGTGCAACCAAAAATCTTGGTTAAAAATTGGTTTCAAAGTTTAAATTTAGGCTGGCCTTACTGAAATATGTTTTGGGCCCATTTTCAGAACTACTTTTAAGTCAATAAATTTTCACTTCAAATTTCATCATAAGGGCAAACCCCAAGATCACTAAAGTCTTGGATTCATGCTGGGTTCTGTGTTAACAAAGTTCTTGAATCATATCAGTCAGATTCCAACAAGTCCCGGTGGCTCAGCAGGTTAGGTGGCTGAGTTGGTGTGCTGGTGATTAGGTGCCTGACTCTGAGGGTGTGGGTTCGAATCCCGGATGGGACTCCACCCAGCAAAAGTACTAGAATCTGTACTTTACAAAGAAAGTGTAATCCCAAATATAACATATGTCACATTTGATAATTTCTATGTGCATTGTGTAATCATTTGAAGATTCAAAATCAGGACTGAAATATTCAAAGTCTGCATTTACACATGGCCTTACAGAGCTGTATACATTGACTAATGATGACAAAAAACATTCCAGTTTTTGTTACTATGAAAAGTACACTTATTGTGGAAGAATTCTGAAAAGGTTCAATGACTGCATATTGACTCCAACTGACACCAGTCTGTCGATAGCATCTATGCACGTCACTGATATGTTGTACAGATTTGCACAAGTCCAAAGTCAATTTGAAAAGACAAGATTGGTTACTTCTTTCCATCAGATATCTTAGTGCAACAATCTGGAGTCTGGGTGAAGCCTTGTTTAAACAGTTCACAGAAACAACCCCCCACAATATGATATAGGTGGATGATTTACCCCAGGTGAGTCGCTATAGTGTATGTACTGATGAGGTATTGACGTGATATTGACATGATATCGCCATACAATCATGATATTGCCATATGACCATCATATTGACACAATACTGAAATATCATGATGATATTTATCAATATTGCCATATCACCATGATCTTGACATGATATCAGCATATCACCATGATCTAGGCACAAAATCTGCATATCACCATGATCTTGACACAATATCGGCACATCACGATATTGGCACGATATCGGCATATCACCATGATCTTGATAGCCTTGGTATACTGACCTAATACTCTTACATCACAATGATACTGACATGATATTGCCATGCCGATGACATGCTACTGATACTGTCATGCAAACTATTGACTGGGTATGTCATTCATTCATTGCACAAAATGCAAAACATGCTGATTTGTGGCACGAAAATGAGCCTCAATCACTTGTGGCAATAATTCTTGGAATTTCGATAGTACCAAAGTTTATTTTCAGCAGATTAATTAAAATGCATGTTAAGAACTAAATTCACCGACTGTTATAAATCTACCATGCAAGATTAGTGACAAAAGTGAGTCAGTGAAGTTTGCGTTCTATTTTCTTGTACTCCTGCAGCTGGAATATCTTCACAAAATCTCATCACAGACATGCTACAATCTCATCCAATGAAACTAACACAACATTCAGTCACATTGTTTCTGGTTGCCACGGTAACTGTATAACTGTTAAGATGCTGCCACTGGTGATTAATTTCAGGCTACTGGATTCTGACAAAAACTGTCCAAAACATTCAATTTACAATACAAATCTTTTAAGTTCACATTCATCAGAAAATATTTTTCCTTTTACACTGTCATCCAAATAAATGAATATTTCTTTCAAGCAATCCTAAATGGAGCCTTACATAATGATAAACATTTTTACTTTTCCAGCCAAGTAATGTTAGAGTTTTAAGTGGCATTTAATTACATCATGCTGACAGCAACATTTGTATTCTGTGTTTGTGGCTTAATTGTACAATAATTGTATACTTGTACACCAGTGATCAATGGAAGAAGAAAAGACTAACGAATAGATGGCCAGATGCTACGACACATGTGCATTTTCTTTGGTAAATCTGAAAATTCATATATCAAAATTTACTGGGATTTGAATGACTTCATACCCCTGATATAAAAAGAACTTTTCTATTTTTTCAAACTAAAGAGCATTATAATCACACGATAGAAAACCTTTCATTCTTGCCAATGAATACGCACACATGCCATCGCCTTCAATATGGTTGAACGGTCATGGAGATTAATGTGGAGTGACTCAGAGCATCAGAACGCTTTAAAGTAACCGATACCCTAAAATTGGTGTATGGAGGAGCAATCGAAGGATATATTCTTCAAATTCCTGGCATAAGTTATCCTAATTTTTGGGCAATCCCTGTAAATTATTCTTCCATTTCCTCTTAAGTGAATGTTACAATGGTAGGCAGTGATGGTGGTGTTTATTGACACGACCTTGACATTCCTGCGCAGCAGTGAGCAATTTCTAATCCACCATTGCCATAAACACAAGTTTAATTTTAAAAAAAGAAAACATATTGCCTTGCTTATTAAAGGTTTTGGTTTCATCAATGATAAAAACTTACATTACAAACCATAATTCTATATTCGAGTAAAATTGAGGTAAAAATAGTATGACCGCCCAGCACAGCGAGCCTCATAAAAATTTAACCTCATAAATAATGTTGTACTAAATCTATGAAAAACTTAAGAACTGGAACAGTCGTTATGCTATGATGTATTTGTGGGATTAAGCCTTGAGCTTTATCAAATATCAGGCCTTACTGCAAACAGTATTATGTGCAATAAAACTATGACCAATTTAAGGTGTGAAACAGTTATAATCCTAACGTCTCTTTGTGTGAGTGAGTTTGGTTTTACGCCGCTTTTAGCAATATTCCAGCAATATCACAGCGGGGGACACCAGAAATGGACATTGTACCCATGTGGGGAATCGAACCTGGATCTTCGACGTGATGAACGAACGCTTTAACCACTAGTGCACCCCACCGCTCCTCAAAATGGTGAGACTGGCCAGTGAGTGATCAACAGCATGAGCCTCATAAAAATTTAGGCCTACACGTAATTAACATTAAATGTATTAAATCTATGAAACACTTCAGAACAGCAATAGTTGTTAAGCTAAGATGTTTTTGTGGGAAGTGTCTTATAAAAATTCAGGCCTTACTGCAAACAGTGTTACTGTGATAAATTGTTGTAAAAAATCTAAAATCTGTTTGTGCAACGATGCTCTGAGGGTAACAAATATTCAGGCCTAAACCCACGCCCTGCAGTATGCCCTGGAGTACACCCCTAGTGATCTCCACAACCGTTTCACCTGATGCACACTGACAACACTAAACATTCTCTGCATGGAGACTGCAGGAAGTGAGACGTTAGAGAGATGAAGAGGCAGATGTTGCACAGACTCCTATACCTGACACATGAAAAGACTGAACTCTCCGAGCCTGAAATTTCTCTGAAATGACATTGACAGACTGAGTTGAGTGACCTGTTTGAACACCCAAGTACCCAGGAAGGTAATAAAGAGTGGAATATTGGTTCCAACATGGCTAAATATGATGTACAGGACTGAAATCAAACACAAAAATAAGACCAGCTAGTAATATAATCATCCTAAGGACTGGTAATTTATCATGGGGTTGTGGGGGGGACTGGTTGAAGGGCTGTATTACACTTTGCTAAGTCCAAAATAAAATGAAAAAATAAAATATAACAAAATATCATTTTTTCATGACACCATTCCCACCCTATGATAGAAATCCAGGGCGGCATTATCTGTATTACACTTTGCTAACTCCCCAATAGAACGAAAAAATAAAATATAACAAAATAACATTTTTTCATGACACCATTCCCACCCTATGATAGAAAGCCAGGGTGGCATTATCTGTATTACACTTTGCTAATGCCCCAATAAAAATAAAGAATAACAAATAAAATATAGAAAGATAAACATTTGTTCACACCATTCCCTCCCTATGATAGAAGACGACCAGGGTGACATTGTACAAGGGACCTTAACACTGAGGCGATTGTAACTCACATGACTTAAGTTTGTTTTGTACATGGCACCCAGTCTCCAAATCATGTTCAATGAGTGAGTGACTCAGTATGGTTTTATGCCTTTAACAATATTCCAGCAGAAATGGGCTTCACACATTGTATATACCTATGTGGGGACTAGAATCAGGGTCTTCAGCATGACGAGAGGATGCTTTAACAATTAGGGTACCATATCACACCCAAAATCACGTTCAAATTTATAGTGCTTTTATTAAAATATTGACAGTTGAATCCTATTTGATGTGCCCCGAACCCCCTCCTCCCCATCTTACTGTCCCATACAGTTGTGCTCCATACTGGGGATTCTCCATTTTCACTGTATTTATTTCATCCCCCGAACTCCCCATGATAAACAACCAGTCCCATCACTGTCATTAATAATATTTGTATATATTTGTGAAAAGGTCTTATTAATCTAGAATACATGGAAAGAGAGCAGATTAAGAATGACTGATTATGCAATTTTACTGGATTAATAATGCCTATATCTAGACAAGAAACAGTTTCTAAATAATTGGCAAAATAAATTGACAAGGAAATCAATCTCAAAATGAAAATATGAAATCATAAATGCATTCATAAATATCAGTGCACTTGTATTCTAGTCTATACCTCAGTTCTCAAACAGTCTACAAAATAAAACATCTTCAAGCAAAATGTCAAATATGAAGATGTTTCTGGAACTTCAGATAAAAGAAACGCTTTATTAAGGATCTAAAGGACACAAAACAGTATGTTTCCATGGTGCAGGTACGATTGTTCTGTATGATGATGTTTCTCAAACAAAGTAATGTACCTTTGGTATCTCTTGTTTCCTTGACTCGCTGATAGAACCGCTACCACGAGGGTCAATGTGACCTTTCCGTTTCTCCGACATACTCTGGCGCCCAAATCCTTCCCGTTGGAACTCAAAGTCTCCTGTGGGGCTCCTGTTGAAAGACAAGACACAATACATCCTGTGTGAGAGGGTGGGGTATAGACTAATGCTAGTTTCTGAAAATATACTGAGGGAAACAAATAAGGCATCACATGAAAGCACAAGAGTTCCTTTATTTGTTTCGAGTTTTCTTCACAAGGTATGTGATACAAAGCTTGTGAAGAAACCTGGGAAAAAATAAAGGGACACTTGTGCTTTCATGTGATGCCTTATTTCTTTCCCTCAGTATACATAATTTATTTTGACAGAAACAACAAAATTCTATCAAATTGAAAATCAGCCCCAGTGAGATGGGAGATTCAAAACCCAAGGAATCTAGACTTGCTTAAATTAGTGCCTTAGCATTGCAGAAAGGGCTGGGCAGAACGGAAAATAATGCGGTTCAGGGACTGTAGGATTTGAAGGCTGAATATACAGAGCAATGTGAGTGAGTGAGTGAGTGAGTGAGTATGGTTTTACTCCGCTTTTAGCAATATTGCAGCAATATCACGGCGGGGGACACCAGAAATGGGCTTCACACATTGTACCCATGTGGGGAATCGAACCCGGGTCTTCGGCGTGACGAGCAAACACTTTAACCACTTGGCTACTCCACCACCCCCACAGAGCAATGTGCATTTATGGAGGTACAATCGTCCCTCGCAATAACTACAGGGTAATCTGTGGCAGTTATGCACAAGGAAAATACGATGTTACTTGGCCTTTATTCTGTGTTATGTATACCACACGTGTTTCATAATGGCATCCAGTGGTCCCCAACACCCACATCATGGCGAGGGATGACCCAATATTGTTTTTAGGCTTCGGCTGCTTTGAAATTTTCTCAGGGACAGTTGATGTTGATAGCGAATTAAGAGTTGATACAGACATATTGAAAGCACTGATAATGATATATAGCACACACCTGACTAGACACAGTGACCCTCTGACTAGACACAGTAACACCTGACTAGACACAGTAACCATCTGACTAGACACAGTAACCATCTGACTAGACACAGTAACACCTGACTAGACACAGTAACCATCTGACTAGACACAGTAACACCTGACTAGACACAGTAACACACCTGACTAGACACAGTAACACACCTGACTAGACACAGTCACCATCTGACTCGACACAGTAACCATCTGACTAGCCCAAGTAACAAACAGTTGAGTCAACACAGTAACACACCTGACTAGACACAGTAACCATCTGACTAGGCACAGTCACCATCTGACTAGACACAGTAACCATCTGACTAGTCAAAGAAACAAACAGTTGGCTCAACACATTAACACACCTGACTAGACACAGTAACACAGCTGACTAGACACACAGTAACACACAGCTGACTACACATACAGTAACACACCTGACTAGACACACAGTCACACACGTGACTAGACACACAATAACACACCTGACTAGACACAGTAACACACCTGACTAGACACACAGTAACACACCTGACTAGACACACAGTAACACACCTGACTAGACACACAGTAACACCCCTGACTAGACACACAGTAACACACCTGACTAGACACAGTTACACACCTGACTAGACACACAGTAACACACCTGACTAGACACACAGTAACACACCTGACTAGACACAGTAACACACCTGACTAGACACACAGTAACACACCTGACTAGACACACAGTAACACACCTGACTAGACACACAGTAACACACCTGACTAGACACACAGTAACACACCTGACTAGACACAGTAACACACCTGACTAGACACACAGTAACACACCTGACTAGACACACAGTAACACACCTGACTAGACACAGTAACACACCTGACTAGACACACAGTAACACCTGACTAGACACACAGTAACACACCTGACTAGACACACAGTAACACACCTGACTAGACACACAGTAACACACCTGACTAGACACACAGTAACACACCTGACTAGACACACAGTAACACACCTGACTAGACACACAGTAACACACCTGACTAGACACACAGTAACACACCTGACTAGACACACAGTAACACACCTGACTAGACACACAGTAACACACCTGACTAGACACAGTAACACACCTGACTAGACACACAGTAACACACCTGACTAGACACACAGTAACACACCTGACTAGACACACAGTAACACACCTGACTAGACACACAGTAACACACCTGACTAGACACACAGTAACACACCTGACTAGACACACAGTAACACACCTGAGTAGACACACAGTAACACACCTGACTAGACACACAGTTACACACCTGACTAGACACAGTGACACTTACAGTTCATCATGTTCCTGCAGCTTGCTGCTCCAGTCGCTGGCTGACCCACGTTGGTGTTGCTGTTGGCGGTGATGCTGGTCGTCGTTGTAGTCCTCCATGCTGGAGCTGCGCGAGTGGGCGGGGGAGATGTGGGGGATCCCCAGTGTGGAATGGGGCCGTGGAGGTGGCTGACGCTTCTAGAATATACCCATCATCATTACTAACAACATACATGTTTCTCTGTGATGGTGGTTGTACATTACCTAGACTTCATAGCATACTGAAATGATAAATTTTTTAAAGAAAAACATCAACGATATGATATGTAGAATATGCATGTAATTTGCCATATTGCCCATGACAATTTACCTACACTTTATATAAATATATAATGCCAAACTTTATATTTAGGAAAATGGAAAAGCTGTGAAGATTACATAAACATTTACATCACTCAAATCTGCATGGCAAGAGTCCCAAATCTAATCATTCCTACCTGACTTACTCTAGATCAACAGAGTTGGACTTTAATACACCAACACATCTTGACTAACTCTGACATACTTTTAGACCAAATACTGCTTGATTTCTCAAACAAAAAACCCTGTCATGGTTGGTAAATGACTTACTCTTGGTATGGCATACATATCATTCTCAATAATGACATCATCCCGCATCGGTCCAGCCACTTTACCCAGCTGTGACGGCTTAGTTGGGGAACTCTCAGGCGTCATCTCGAAACTTTCATGTGTTGCTCGGTTGTAGGACTCGTTGCGTAACCCATTTCCACCATCGCCAGTCATCAGTCTATCCACAGCCAAACTAGAAGGCATAGTCCTACTTACACCATTTGGCTGTCCATTCCCACTGACATCAGCCCTTGTTCTGGCAGAATTATCTCCCCTTGTTTGACCAGAATTCTCTCCCCTTAAAAAGAGGGTATTGTCCCCACTAGAGGAGCGACTATGATTCTTCTCCCCGTATATGGTCACCCCATGATTAAGCACTTCAAATTGACTTCCATCTGTTGTGTCCAGTGAATTTTCACTCGATAGAAACGGGGAAGGAGCACCTATTTTCCTAGCAACTGTCAACAAAATGAATCCACACATGGGTCCGTCAACTTGCATGGCACGTCGAAGCTGATCCATGGCCTTGACATTGGACATGTTTGTCAGTGGGATGCCGTGAACCTCTAGAAGCTGGTCATTGACGAACAGACGACCATCCTTAATGAAAAGGAAGAAAGGTCATAATTCTGCATGATGTATCAAGATAATAGTTACAATGATAAGTATTATATTACATAGCTGTGCTAACTGTGATCTGCTAATCACAACTAAATGAAACATTCAGAACAGTTGTCAAATTACAAGCATCTACTTATCAAGATGCCTTCAAATAATTTTCAATTCAATTTTGTGTCACAAAGAGGTATGTCATAGTATAATGCTGTTCTTAAGTAAACATGGAAAAATTTTCAAGAACATTATTCATAAAGCACTATCACAGTGTAATGAAAATGCTCTGAATAGCACAAGAAACAGTACTTAATGGCAAAACAAAACACAGGCTTCTTATACAAATGTTGGTTCATGTTTCAATATTATATACCAATGATCAAAATACACTCAAGTTTTGTTTCATGCGTTTTAACGCCAAGTTTTGTTTGCGTTTTAACGTCATACTCAGCAATTCAGTCAAGTCAGTAAATCTGACCAGCCGATCCCATTAGTTGCCACTTACGAAAAGCATGGGTTGCTGAAGACCAATTCTAGCCTGGATCTTCACGGGCCAAAAGTAATTGGTAGTAATTATAAATCTAACAACAGGCCACACTGAATAAAGACCTCTGCAACCAGAACAACCGACAGTCACCTGAAACAGGTCTCTCAACATTCGCAATCACAAACCATGCAGGTTAATAGCAAACCAGATGTGATGTGATGCGGATGCAAACACAATGAAACTCAGGTCATGATGCTGATGATGTTGGAACATTTCGGGCTTCAATTTCCGTTCCCATAGGTTCAATCTGGTTTACGAATACGTCCCTGATATTACTGACCTAGAGATACCAAATAGATGACTCCACCTTAGATAGACCCACACCCTAGGACGTGTTGTGATTGAACCTGCCGCCTGTTTGGTTACCAACAAACCTTTGCTCCCCTCGTTTGACAAGGGGGCGGTGGCGTAGCCTGGTGGTTAAAGTACTTGATTGTCACGCTCAAGGCCCGGGTTCTATTCCCCATATGGGTGTAACATGTGAAGCCCATTTCTGGTGTCCCCCACTGTGATACAGCTTGAATATTGCTAAAAGCGGTGTTAAACCATACTCACTCCAGTCCCATAGGTTCAATCTGGTTCACCACAAATAAAACAATTACTGTCCTTGAGATAAGAAATAGGTGATTACATGGCTCTGTGTGTGTGTGTTTGTGTGATGATGATGATGATGATGATGATGATGATGATGATTTTCATGAAGAAGCATGTACAATGTGAATGACGCCCCCTAAAATTTATGTGCAAAGTAAGTGACCCTACCCTGCATGTCATGTACAAAATCAATTACCCCCCCCTTCCTTTCCCATAATATTTAAGCATATTTTCTATAATGATTATATGTAAAAATTGCTGATCCCCCTTTCCCACTTGTACAAAATTGCTGACCCCCACCCTCCACCCCAAAGAACAACATGGGTGAGCCCCGCTTAAAATCATCAGCACCCCACCTAGCCCCAAATAATGAAAGGTCCCTAAGCTATTTCGTTCTTCACCTGAAGATACACCTGCATATCTATACCAGGTCTAGTTACAACTGTCTCAGCTAAACTTTAGCTGTTTCTGCGTGAACACACCCAGGTTGTCAGTTTCATCAACATCAGTAATCCACAAACCCTTGCTACACCTGTTTCATCATATTAATCATCTGACGCCATTGCTGGCAATATTCTGGTAATATCACCTGTCCATAATCAATTTTGGACAAGTAAACTGGTGGCTGATAGCAAGAGCAACAAGCCATGTGGACGGAATACTATGACAAAAAACTATCCAGGTCTGTTCCAGGTTCATCCAGGCCAACTCTTCCAACCAGCATGTGGTATTAAAAAGGCCTTTTCTGATCTGGAATCCCTAGACGTTGAATTCAAAGGTCAAGGTCAACAGTTCTTTTTCCCTCAAGGTCATCTAATAAATCATTATTCATATTCAGCCGTCTATACAACAAGGCATAAATAACCAACTAATAAAATGGACAAAATATTTTCCGTTCCACCAGTACCTTGGACGCGGCACCACCATGCATGACAGATTTAATGAAAATCCCTAAATCTTTGGTCCCTTCTGCTGTTGATGTCGTCTTTCCTTTGACGCTGACTCCAAGCCCAGCTGACCCAGTGTCGTTGAGCGGGATTTCGAATTTGATCACTTCCTTGTTTCTGATGTTAGTGACGGTGGCCTCCTCCCCCGAAACTTCCCCGGGCTGCAAGACAGGGGGTGGTGTGTTTTCATCGCTCTGAAAGTGAAGGAAGGGCGGAGTCCACAATGTACATGCAGCTACCACAACACACACAAAGGGAGGTAACTCTCAGCAGAGAACACAACTTGACAAGCAAAAAAGAGTACCACACTCAAAGTAGTTAAGTGTCTCAAAGAGCTCCATGGGAACTCAATACTTTGAATACGGTATCATGCAGAGATGTAGGATGCTTGACACAAGTCACTTTTTCAAAAATAAAACAGCATTAGTGATGAAGGCATCATAAGCTAGAAACCAGGCTAGCTATTCTTGAACGTTCGTAGCCCTACGAATAGTCTGTCTCACAGTCCCTGAACCACATTATTTTCCCTACAGCCTAGCCTTCCCTGTAGTGCTAAAGCCCTAAATGAAGCAAGTCTACATTTCCCCAGGTTCTGAATCTCTGGTCTCCCTAGGGATCCTTTTCAATTTAAATGGGCTTGTTTGTTACTATCAAAATTATATATATTCAGAGACTAAGCCTTAGTCTACCCTACACGAACTTCGTAAGCCCATTCTTAACACATTGGCTACGATCAAAGTTTAGAATTCTTAGGGCTACGAATTTTTCGAAAATAAGGGCCCAGACCCAAAAGGTAAACACACTTTCAACTGTGAAGCAAAATATGGGATCATTTTGCCAAGAATATCAAATAATTGAGAATAGAACAATTTAATCTCTATTTCACATATTTTACTCATTGATTTGAGACTATATATTTTAAAAATATTGTTGAAATAAATGTTTGGGCAAAAAATCTTGTAAAGCAGATTATTATTCTCGACTCAGGAACATTACAAGAATATCACTGACAGAACATCCATAATAAATTTCTGGTATTTCAGAATTGTGCTTTACCATGACAGTATGTGAGGATGCCTTTATCACTAATACCACACTAGCATCGGAGAAAAATGAAAAAGCAAAATCATGAAATTGTCTCAAACACATTTTAACTCAAAACATGCCATTTAGATATAAAGAAAATTGTCATCTGCAAACAAATGTGTCATATCGCACTGAAACAGATCAGCCAGTTAATGAGTTAGTGTTAAATTTCTTTAAAAGTAATTTTAGTGTTTTAATGTGCATAAATAAAATATCAAAACAGCATTTTTTAGATCATATATTAGCGACAACAATAAAAAGCAAACAAACTGACGGGCTAATATAGAAGCATTTACATCTGATGACTTTTATCTTGAAAAGCCAAATATGTAAACTAGCTCATCTAAGGTAGGTAGAAAGCAAGAAAATGACTTCAAGATAGAATCCTATTAAAGTTGAAAAAGCTAATGTTAAACAAAGCATCAAATGTGTTTAGATGAATTTAGATGCCAAAAACCTATGATAGATATGTCCCAAAATATGAATTGTCAAAATGGGTGGGAATAGTTTAAAAGGTCATATTATATCCACTTGTTGTCTTTTAGACAAAAGATTTTTTGGCATTGCTCTTTGTGTAATTGTTAAAAATGGCTTTGGACTGTTGGTGCCAGTAAATTAACTAGTATTTTCAAGACATGTAAAGAGAACAAGTATTATTATTCCAAAGCTACACAGAGTTTGTATCTGGTCATGGTCATATCTACAGTCTGTGTCAGTTTGATTTAGTTCCAGTTTGTAGCAACATTCAAGCATTGAGAACTGGTTGGGAATTACATAACTAAAATGCTACTAGTCAATAGGGGTGTCACGATACACCAATCTCACGATACGATACGTATCACGATTTTAAGGTCAAGATACGATATGTATCGCGATACATAATTTTCGCGCCTTTTCATAGCATTACCTTACCGGCAACGTACGCGCTCGCTGATTGGTCCATCAAAATAGTCTAGCCAATCACAAAAGCTGTTAGTTTCCAACCTACTTTTTAAGTAAAGCTAGCTACATCTATTTATCGGAGTGATCTTGTATAATTTTACTATCAAGACTTTGAAGGAGATGGAGATAGCATAAAAATTTGAATCGATAAAGTTTTAAAATAGGAATCGATACACGCAAGCATGTATCGCGTATCGTATCGTCAGTAAAAATGTATCAATGCATCGATACATTCGCGTATCGCGACACCCCTAGTAGTCAAAGATTACCATCATTGGATTTCTACTTGTAACTTTGAAGTATTGGACTAGCATGAATTTCGAACACAGGATGTCACATAGCTACAACCCAGTCCTCATTGGTCAACTCAACTCCAGCTGGGGTAGCATAGTGGATAAAGTGTTCACTCGTCACGCCGAAGACCTGGGTTCGATTCCCCATATGGGTACAATGTGTAAAGCCCATTTCTGGTGTCCCCGCCATGATATTGCTAGAGTATTGCTAAAAGCTGTGTAAAACTAAACTCACTCACTCACTCATTGGTCAACTCCCATACAAACACAGAGGTCCCAGAATCCCATTGGGCACCATGTATGTCACGTTCATGCCAGTGTTTGTTATTTGTTATGCAAGACAACATCACAGTTGTCAGGCTGCCAAGTGACCACATGCTTTATTGAGTTAGGGCTCATGATGAAAGAACTAAGTTTTGATTGAAAGTACTCTGAAATGGTTGAGGAAACATGATCGTAAGTCTGAAAACTCTTATTAGCAATGACAACACCATTAGATCATTCACTTTCTCTCTAGATTATCACAAAATGAAACTTTTGCCACAAATACTTTCAAAATGCAAATGAGAAAATGAGAAATACACAAATTTTGGGAACATTATAAGAGTACTGATTTTCCCCCCCAAAATTAAATCTAGGTATTCTATGCAAGATGAAATTAGACAAACCACTGACTTTAAAAGGATTGGGGAAATGTATATATAATAGAAAACAAACAAGTGATCTTTTCACACCTTGCAAGTTTGCAAGGCTCAGCTGGCAGCAGGATATTACTTCCTGTACAACTGTTTACAGATAGTCAAAAGTGAAAGGACTTCTGTTGAAACTCTGAATATTCTATACTGGGGGGCGGTGGGGTAGCCCAGTGGTTGAAGCGTTCACTCATAACGCTGGGTACAACATGGCTACAATGTGGGAAGCCCATTTCTGGTGTCCTCAGCCGTGATATTGCTGGAATATTAGCGGCGTAAAACTAAACTCACTCACTATACTGACTGGTATATGGTCTCGGTACAGTGTCATGACAACCAAAACACAGGGTTTATGGCAGTGATGGAAAAGAGGTAGGATATTCGCAGGAGTTACATACATCTACCAAAAAATGGTGAATAAAGCAAAATATATAATCTACAAAAAAAATGGAGAGAGAAAATGCAAAACTGAAATGAAAGAATGAGAGAACTCATGAAATGAAACAATACGACAGAACGGCTACACAAAAGTGTCAATACAGAGCAGGGCAACTTGGCAGCTAGCTCCGACAATAAGCAAGATGGTTACAACAGCGATGCCACACAACAAACAGTTCTACAGTGCTGTAGCAGGGACTCGTCCTTTCAACACGTTCATTTCAATATCAACAGAGACATATCATGGCATGGAATTACAAAAAAAACATGTCAATCGCTGTCAATCACTCAGGACACACTGACTTTCAGGTGTAAAATACAAATTTAGGAAGGGAGAAAAGTTCATTTTCAATAATGGACAACTAAATATTTAAGGATTTCAAATTTTAGTTTTAGTTTGCAAGGATTTTTAATATTTTTCCTCAAATGTGAAATTAAGTGTTTGTATCAGTGACATAAACTTCTCCTTTAAACAAAAACAAAGAGAACGATATATCTGCACTTATTTTAAATGTAGGAGGGTGGGTTTTAAGCAATAGTCAGCAATATTACAGCCAATCGAATAATCACGTCAAATCAAACCAGGGGTTGATAGCATGAACAAATGTGTCTAAATGCGATGACAACCAATCAGCTATGTCCTGTCAAACCAATGGCTGATAGCATGAACATGTAGATGGAAGGAATGACAACTAATCAGTCATGTCAAGTCGAACCCAACGGCTGACAGCATCACATCACCAGCCATGTTGTCAAACTGATACCCGGTAGCATGACCAGCCATTTTGTCACACCAGATGCTTGTTCTAACATAGTTCCAATCCCTAAAAATAACCATTCAAGAGTCATTTTGACCAGCTGATCACTAAATTTACCTGTTCCTGCAGAATAAAATGTTGATTGATATTTAAAGATTCTAGGTTTGAATGTTTTGATTAATCAGGATATGATGAGTTCTCATGAGACCTCATGCACTGCTGCAGGCACTCGTGAATACTGTGAAGAAATAATCTCTTAATAGCAAATAAAAATACTTCAAGCATTATAATGAAAATGTGAATGGTTGTTTACACACAGGAAAACTTTCCAAACAAAAGCAGGGATTGGACGGCAAAAGCATAGGTGTTATTGTCTGCCACTCGGATGGTTTAAAAATCTCTGTGTAAATGTCTCCGATAATCTCATGTTAGTTTCAAGTCAGAACAAAAAAAGTGATTAATAAATTTCAGTAGAAACTGATCAACTTCAGCAACTGATGTAAAACTACAAACACACTAAAACCACATATTTTGTTAAAAATCTATGTTTTTTAATAAACTGGTGAATAAAATCATTATATAACCTACCAGCTCTCGAGGCATCCGAAACAGCTCGTCCACAACTTCCTGTCTGGACACAACCAGATTGCACACATGGCCTTCTGGGATACTACGCAGCTGACCCACAGCCTCACTCTGAGACTTGCCTGTCATCTCCATTCCGTTCACCTGGAACAAAGGCGTTTGTGAAGAATCAAAAACGAAGAATGAAAAACAGTTCCTAGGGTTTGGTTGAATATGTAATTGTGAAGGTTTACTAATATAATCTTTCCAATAAAAAGGTGGAAAATGGATAAATACTTGTAAGTGGGAATGCCTCACAAAATGTTGTTAATGCATTTCTAATTTTCTGATGGAATAAGGGAGGTAACTCTTTTCAAACTATCAATCCCACTCCTCCCACAAATATTTACTACTAAAAGAGTTTAAGGATAATCATACTCTATAATCAATCGTAAATATATCATGATTATCATGACAGATTTATGATTGAAATATAAAAACATCTGTATTTACTGTTTGATTGGCATTTGAGAAGTTGATGAATAATAAGAAAGGTAAGACACTTAATGGAAGACAACTTCTCTATTATATTATGATGTGACGTTTTGGTATAGATTCTTATACCGTTGTCAAGCAAGCAAGAACCTATACGAAAACATCGCATCATAACATATAAGAAATAGTCATCCAGAAAGTATATTACCTTTCTTATTTGTATGTATACAACTACTTTTGAGCAGTACAGGTTTAGTATTGAAGTAAATAGGTCAAATGTCATGGAAAAGTTGGATACTTAACCATTTTATGTTGAACTAGATTCATAACAGATGTCATTTAAGCAAGATTTAAAATATCTGGACATGTTTTGCAGATACGCCCAGGTAGATCGCATGTCATGCAGAAAATTTCTTTTTTTCTGTTTTTCATGGGAGATAACAATTTACACATGACTTGCAAATTGTCCTGATCATACTGTTTAGAGCATCATAAAATCTCTACCTTAATAATAATAATAATAATGCTAATTTTTGCGCCAAGAATCCAACACGATGGTGCTCTCTGGCGTTACATTATTACCCTGACAGAATTGTACTTTCACAGCTGCTACTAAGCGCTTCGGGCGACTATATAGGTCCGTACATCCGCTTCCCTGGTACCCATTTCAAACAGCTGGGTGGACTGAGTGCAATGTGGATGAAGTGCCTTGCCCAGGGACACAACACAGTATGAGAATCAGGTCACAAATTTTGGTGTCTCCACCGGGATTCAAACCCAGGCCTTTGGCGTGAGAGGCCAGCATGCTAACCACTACACCACCGTGCTCCACACAGGAGCAACAGCCTTACAACTGTTGTTTGGTCAGATTTGTTCAAGCAAGCAGAAGATTATGTAGCCTGAGGTAGATACATAGCCAGGAAGTGGAAGGAAAAGATTTTAGGGTATGAGTGTGACGTCTTTTAATGGATCATGTGAGTCCAGATGTGCTCTAAATCATCTGAAATAGGGTACCCCACCTACTCCGTCAAAGGAAACCCACCTCCAACAACCTGTCCCCAGGTTTGAGTCTTCCATCCTGTACCGCAGCACCTTTGACGAGGATGTTCTTGATGTAGATGGGACTCTCTCCCGTGGGGTTGTCTCGAGACGTGATGCTGAACCCAAGCCCTAGAGCACCTGCAGCACAACACAACATTGCAGTAAACGGGAAGTAACAGTTTCAGATAGTTGTGAAACATCATGCATAAGGTGAGGAATATATCTTCCCCTTTAGGACATACCCCAGCCATAGCCACACACCAAACCCATGTCAGGAAACAAACTCAGGTCTTTGGTGTGACAAGGTGACACTTAAACCACTAGGCTACTTTCCTCCCCCTTAGTACAGGTATAAGTTTTCACAAACAGGATTTATGATCCCTAATTTACTTCTTTAAAGTACAAATGATTTAATCCAAATGAATTAAGCAAATTACTTAGATCATTGAATATGAGAATCACAAGATTCACCTGAACACAATCAAAACCTTGTGAAAGAAGGAAAATAGTTCCTGGTTTGTAAACTAAGTGTGTCATCATGACAGTAACAACATCCTATTTTTTATACGATCCATTAACAACAACTGTGAGGGTTTGGTTGAGAGTAAAAAATATACAGAAGAGGTTTACCCAGTATAACTAAATCATATATGATGTCAATGTATGCTGAGAGAAACGAATAAAGAAACACAGGAAAATTCAAGCGTTCCTTGAATATTGTCCATTTTTCATCACCAGCTTTGATCTTCTGACTGAAACTTCCCTGCCTGCTGAGTCGGGACTGGATCAGGGATTCAGAAATAAAATATAAATAACAAAAAAAACGCTTTGAACAGAGCTGTGGGAGGAAATCTGAGAATAATAAAGGAACACTGCCATGAAGTGGTGTTCCCTTATTTGTTTCCCTCAGCATATATCAACAAATTGTACTACCATATTGCAAAACTGCTGTCGCATACCTTTCTGCAATTGAATCTGGATTTTTCTTCCGATTTTGCGAGTATTTGTGAGAGTGTTGATTGCTTGTTCCTTTGGTGCTGACAAAGTCGTGGATGGATGGCGTTGAGGCACAGCTGGTGGTGTTTTCTTCGTGGGTGACGCCACCTTCAGCGGCGGACCGGGTTGGATTGGCAGTTTGTCACGTGGCGGAAGAGGGGATCCCGGCATCTTATTGCCTTGATTATTGTTCACTATACCGAGGTTCACATTCTTCTCATTTACATTGTTATTATTTATCAAAGGCTTTCCCACCTCCAAGGGAGAACTTGTCTTTTCTGGACTTGACGGAAGAGAGTTATCTCCCTTGGGTGGGGGAAGGGTCAAAGGTGAAGGTTTCACTGGTGCATGACCTTTGGGTTTTGGCATAAGGGGTGGGGGTTGTTTTGGCAGTAGGGGTCGGTGTTTTACAACCTTCAGTCTTACTTCTGCTGTTCTCATAGCGTCACGAAATATTTTTTGGGCACTGAAAACAATTTTTGGAAATGCTCATTATTTGATATTTACTGGTTATCATTTCTACCTAGTCAGCTACAACTTAAAGGCACTATATCACACCACACTTCTCTACAAATTAATAATGCATTTCTCTAAATAAAACTATCAGCCCTCATAGCTATGGAAGCTACCATATAATTTATTCCCCGCAAAATATGTATTTAGATTACAATATTAAATTAAAACATTCGAATGACTTAATGAAACGTTGCTCTCAACAGGCCAAACATTATTTCAAGCGAAGCCCATAGAGTCATATACCTTGGAGTGCTCTTTATGAATATCCTATGCACAAATTGTGATTGAAACCAGTTCTGCAAACACCGACAACACTGCATGCGACAGTTTTCGATGTATGAAGCAATTGTTTGCATTCCATATATGGCAAGTGTTCTCTGTTTGGAAGCTGTTCGCCTCCAAGGTTTTAATTATTGATTTCAGGTAAGTGGTAAGGGATAGTAAGTCTTTTATTGCATCAATAGGAAGCTAAAGTGAGTGCATATGCCCCAATATATATAATATAGGCAAAATATTGTCGAAAATGAGTGACATTGTACTTTTAAGCTAATGGTAGAAAAGTGATTCATAGAATATATTTATGAAATACTGTATCTTCAATCCATTACTAAAGGAACAAAGGACATAATGTGAAAGGTAGTAAGCAGCAGTAGTTTATAATATACAATAATGAATTCATTAAGGTCAGATGACGCTAATTTAAGTAGTTCTTGCAAGATGAAGAAAATAACATTACTCTCTCAATTTCTATTTTACTTTTTCAAATTAATTTTACATAGGTATTTTACTTACTCGTCGAAGGTGACCCCTTCCAGGTTTCTGCCATTGATCTCAATAATTCTGTCATTCACCCGTAGTCTCCCATCTCTCTCGATACGACCTCCCTTCTCTATACCCTGTAGAACCAGCCCCAGCTCTCTGCAACGACAGTGACAACATCAGCAGCAGCTTCAGCATCAACAGCAATAGCACTATCAACACCACCAGCAATAACATCATCGACAAATTCCTAGTTCCATTAATACTTGGCACATCACAATCTTTACCAGTGAGAGGAAAATGTGACCGACTGCATGGGAAACAACTCATCTTTCACTGCTTTTTATTGCTACTTTCCAAGCAAAGGCTAAATTCTATCTAAGACATGGGATAAATGAGTACATCAAAGAGTTGCTTGTTTGTTTCTAAAGGAGAGTTGTGAATTCGATCTTTGGATCAATTTCATATAACATAATTCAATATTACCAAATCATTTTAGATGAAAACTACAGAAAGCGACAAACAGATGGTGTAATGGCATACCTTCCATCATCATCGATGTCAGGGATGACGTGTATTCCGAGAGGTCCCCCGTCATTCTTCAGCACAATAATAATAGCACCATCACTGAAACAATTCACTCATTAGTCACAGAAGCCTCAAATATAGTCATCTTGTCTTCAAAGAAAATAAAGAGTGAGTAAGAGAGTTTAGTTGTACGCAGCTTTTATCAATATTCCAGCAATATCACGGCGGGGGACACCAGAAATGGGCTTCACACATTGTACCCATTGGGGAATCAAACCCACTCTTCAGCGAGAAGAATGCTTTAATCTCTAGGTTAAGCCACTGCTCTGTGAAACTAAGAAGGGTGAGTGAGTGAGTATGGTTTCACGCCGCTTTTAGCAATATTCCAGCAATATCATCTTGGGGGACACCACAAATGGGCTTCACACATGAAACCAAGAAGAGAGGTTCTGCACAATTCTTTTTCAGTAATATTACAGTTGGGAACACAAGGAAAGGGGGATTCAGGCACCACTTTTACCATTATTTTAGTCATATTACAGTTGTGGACACCAAGAAGGGACATCCATGAGTGACTCCAACAAACGACATCCTGATTCCCGGCTGTGACTCACCTGTCTTTGTGCGGAGGTTTGACATCAGCTTCAGTACCACTGCCCCCTATCGGGCCTTTCCTCTCCACAACCACCTGCTGCAACACAATTCCAAGTCAGTAGGGATTAATGAATATTCCAGAAATATGAATGAGTGAGTGAGAATGATCTTGCAAAACTGTAATGTTAGATATGCGACCAATCAAAACATTAATTCTTATGATTTTGCCCAAAGCATGTTTTCAAGGTCTGACCCAATGTCTGCCAGCAGGTATCACTGCAAATAGCTGTACTTTTGCTGATGCAGCATAAATAAATGTTTATTCCTTCCTTCTTAAATGGGATCCATCTGCTTGAGACCACATGACACTTCACTGTCTTGACCTTGCCCCACCTCATTGTTTGTTGTTTAATGCCGCACTCAGCAATATTCCAGCTATATGGCGGCGGTCTGTAAATAATCGAGCCTGTACCAGCAAATCCAGTGATCAAGAACATGAGTATCGATCTACACAAGTGGGATACAATGACATGTCCAAGTCAGAGAGCCTGATCACCTGATCCCCTTAGTCGGCTTTTATAACAAGCATGGGTTGCTGAAGACCAATTCTAACCCGGAGCTTCAGGGGTCCCCACACAATTCATCATCATCTTGTATTTCACCTCCTGGTTTGAAGGCACACCCCCCACCACCATCTACTATGTGCCCCACCTATTTGAGGCACACAACCCATCAGCATCTAACACGTGCCCCACCTGTTTGAGACGGTCCTGTTGGTTGTCGTGGGCTTCCAGCCATCTGTACATGTCGGGGTTGTTGCTGAGAGACTGACGCTTGGAGTCACGCTGAAACCGTGACAGTGGACTCTTCTCATTGGGATCCTTTGGCCGTGAAATGACCCGTTCATCGTCTGACTCGGACTCGGATCTAGGTTCATCACTCTCCTGTAAATATTGATTGAGAACATCATCAATCACTTCTCATCAATGTCTTTATCACCAACAGTAGACAAGTCCCTAAAATAATAATTAATACATTAAATGACAATTTCTAAAAAATAGAAACAAAATTAACACATTGCCCCTCTAACAGACTTGGACCGCCTCCGTGGTGTAGTGGTTAGGTTGCCGGTTCGATCCCCGATCGCGTCATACCAAAAGACGTTAAAATATGGTACTTGTTGGTCTCTGCCTGGCGCTCGGCATTAATGGGTGCAACAAGGACTGGTCGGCTCGAAGTCAGTATAATGTGTCTGAGTGGGGTATTCATGCTTCACTGCGGCATGGTATCTCAGTGGGCTAGCACTATAAAACCAGCTTCAGTCCGGGCTAGTACAAGCAGCTGCACATACACATACTCACGCATGCACGTCGTCATATAAGCAAAATATTCTCAAGTACGACGTTAAACCCAATTTCACCTCACCTCTAACAGACTTACTCCTTGTACTGTCCCCTTATCTAGACTTGCCTCCTTAAAGTATAGAATTACTACAAATCCATGGGCTTAGCATTTAGTACAGCCTTGGAGCAAAACTACACAAACAGTTAAATTTGAAATAACACAACTGTCTTTCATAATTTGTCAGCAGATACAGTAAGAAATGTAGGAATCCAGTTATCCGAGTTTATTACTATAGTTGTTGTTATTATCATTATTAACAAAGTTTACGAAACCCCAATCAATATGTTATCGGACTCAAGCATCGCCTTCTGCAGACTGTAGATTCCGTAGCTACTCTTCGCAAGTATTTAAACAATCACAGTTGGACTTACAGGATATTTTTCTTTGTTATTTTTTGCTTAACAAAAAAACATAGGCAGACATTTCATCTCACCGGGTAATGAAATAATATTTCATTGAAGTCAATGGACACTTTCTACACAATAATCATACCGTTCTGACATAGAGCTTCATGTCTCTGTCACAAATTAAGTAATTTTGGCAAATAGTCTGACACTACAAATAATGATACTAATGTTACTTGCAGATAATAACCATTATTATGTAGTGGTAAATATGTAACGAATTAACTCTTGACAAATAAAACACAGTCAACAGAGCCGACACAACCAAGGGAGACAACCCTGCCCTACCTGGTGGGATTCCTTCCTTCCACGACCAGGGATGATATTTGTGTCTCCGTTTTCAAGTGGGCCATCATCGGTCAGTAGGTTGAGAGCTGGTTCACTGCCCCGCCGTACTGTCAAGGATGTACCTGTAGCAGAAAATGGAATAACTCAATCTGGGCACAAAGATAACTCTCGGCAAAACAAATAGAAAAATATTATTTTGTTTATTTGTGCTGAACAGCCCACGCATCAATATTCCAGCTGTGGATGGCGGCGCCTGAAGAATAATGTTTGGACCAGACCATCAGGTGATTGATAGTGTGAGCAATGATACCATTAGGGCTCAATGACATGAACTGAGTGACTGTGTCTGACCACCTGACCAGTTGGGTCACTTGTTGTGAAGAGAACAGCTTGAACAAGGGGGGTAGTTCTATGGACATACAACTTCTTTATTACAATATATGCCACAGTTCAGTGTAGATATATACATTGTTATCAAGCATCTTCACAAAAATTCACATTTATTATAATAAAGAAGTTGTATATTCAAAGAGTGAGTGAGTATCGCTTTACTCCACTTTGGTATATCACAGCGAGGGACACCAGAAATGGGCTTCACACATTGTACCCATGTGGAAAATCGAACCCGAGTATGTGCGGCTGACGAGCCAAGATTTGAATCACCGGGCTAACCTACCGCCCAATATATTCATAGAACTATCCCCCTTGATCATCACGAGAACTTCTAAATGCCACTTAAATAAGTCAGCTTAGGTTGGACCAGTTCTAACCTGAATTGAAGAATAGATATATATTTTATAAGGTTCTAACAAACAGTTTGAAAGCTGGTCAATACAAATGAAAGATATCCAGTATTTCGTGACCACTACTTATAAATCTGTTGATGATCAATAACCAGAGACTGATTAACCTCCATTACACAACATCCCACTGACGTAAAGTCACCTCCTGACATTGATTTCTTCTCCATTTATGTTTCTTTACCTAGCTCTTAACAAAAAGGATGAACACTTGACAAAATATAATCTCTTCTCGCGGAATATTTTGAAATCTAGATTCATATAACATGAATCTCATTCATGTACAGCCTGATGTGACACGACACTGATTGATTTTACCTTTGTGTAACTTACCTCAGCCTTTGACGAGCTATTTTTGGAATGATGCAGATGTGCACACAAAGGTTTACTTTAGAGCAGCCTGATGACCTGAGATGAATGAATGTCACCTGTCACATCTACTTTTCTTTACACATCATGTTTAGTAAATCTCTGCTGTCAACCACGGATTAGCGTGGTCAAGAGTTGATTATGTACAAATTTCATTTGCTATATAGCTCACCATATTGTAAAACAAAATCCACTCGATCACAGAATTAACACTAATCAATGGAGTCACCAATTTCAATCTGGACATCATACTGAACTTGACAATATAATTTGAAATACCATCTTCAAATCATGACACACCAAGCTTTCTCAGTAGCTACACTCTCATCTAGTCCCAGAAATTCAGTTATCATTCAAATATACATATTTACAAAAAAATATAACATTAATGGAACCCATCACAATGGTTAATTTCATCTCAGACAATCAAATCATTCTTGATTTGAGATCAGTTCACTTCATTATATATTCTCCATGGTCTGGTGACAGACTATTTAGTATTTAGGACCTGTACTAGAATCCAGAGCAATCTATGTCAAACTTGTAATACATATCGAGCTAGTTCCTGGCATCAATGAATTTGGCAACCCTCAAAGACATACATCAATGCCATCAGAGCTGTTGACAGGGCTGCCAAGGTGTACAATTAACACTGACTCCACTACTATAGAAATCTCCAACACACAAACAAAGACTGACCAGACAATCAATGCAAGTCCAAGAAACTGTCAGTTAGAGTACTTCAATTAACACTGATTGTTGTTCTCCATATGGATGAAGGCCAAGTGCCCTCACTATAAAACTACAACACAAGACCCTCTTCATAAAGCCATGGCCAAAGACCCTCAATATAAAGCTACAACACAAGACCCCCTTCATAAAGCCATGGCCAAGGACCCTCAATATAAAGCTACAACACAAGACCCTCTTCATAAAGCCATGGCCAAAGACCCTCAATATAAAGCTACAACACAAGACCCTCTTCATAAAGCCATGGCCAAGGACCCTCAATATAAAGCTACAACACAAGACCCTCTTCATAAAGCCATGGCCAAAGACCCTCAATATAAAGCTACAACACAAGACCCTCTTCATAAAGCCATGGCCAAAGATCCTCAATATAAAGCTACAACACAAGACCCTTTTCATAAAGCCATGGCCAAGGACCCTCAATATAAAGCTACAACACAAGACAATGGTGATAAAGCTACAGTCCACGACACTCACTATAAACTATGGTTGAGACTATGGCCAAAGACCCTCACTATACAGCAAACGGCCACGACACTCACTATAAAACAATAGTCGAGATCCACACTTAGTCTGTCACACAGACCGTGAAGGAAATATATCCAAGAAAGCCCACACAAGTCTAGAGAATGTGGCAAGTCTAGATTTCTACAGCTTCTAAAAATGATGAAAGTCTCAGAGCTCCATTTCATTATATTGAGTTTTTTACTATGAGATTTTTTTTCTGTAAAATATGTTCATTTCAGAGACTAGTTGTTAGTCTAGACACAAACTATGAAGCTATTTGAAGGATGAACTGTTTTTCCTGCATGGAAGCAATCAGAACCCACTACCATTGAATGAAGAATGCCTCGTTATGCAATGAATTGCACTTATTGACCTCAAAAAGAGTCTGCATTATTCCAGTTCCACTAAATTTACCTGCATTTTTGTTGGTTGTTAAACAGCAAACTCAGCAAATTTCCAGCTACATGCCAGCTGCTGAATCTGTGACTGAGTCTGGACCAGACAATCCAGTGATTGATGATGGATGACTGATCATGAGCATTGAGCTACATAACTGCGATACAATTACTTGTATCATCTCTTACGAACAGCAAAGTTGCAGCAAGACTGTTGCTGATTGGTTGCTGAAGACCAATTGTAATCAGAATCTTCACAGGTAAATGGAGTATGTAAATAATAGTCCTCTTACGTGTCACTTGCATATTCATTAAATTGAACCGTACCCCTTCAAGAATTCAATTGATTATTCATGGTTGTCACTAGAATCGAATATATTTGTATGACAGTGTTTTTACTTGAAACCAGTTTTTTGCTCATTGAAGTGAGATACGCAAAATTGAATATTGCCAAAATATGTTTTGCCCTTTACAGCACTGTCATTAAGCCATAATCAGCATAGTTTGTAATGTATTACATTTTTTTGCTGTATTGAAAATATTTTTTAAATGTTTCAACCTAATTAGCAGTTACAGTTTGTTAGTTTAATGGCTTGATATTCAACATGAAGTATTAATGCATACATACTGGTATTCATTACTATTATATTCAGACAACATATTTTATTTGCCTCATAGTGTATTGGATGCAGCGCAAGTATATAAGTGAGTGATGGCGAGGCAGAATGCCTATTGACAGCACGAGCAACTTATTCATTCAAGGATTCGTTTTAGTTGTAACAAGTACAGCGTCTTCCCATACAGCCAGACCCGTAAACCACATGTTGAATATTAACAATCAACCTCTAACATGAAATAATAGATTTGTAACAGCAACCACTACAATTAACTAGTCTCATGCAAATTAACTCCCTTGACAAACAATGCAAGAGTGGCCATTAGCCATCTGTCAGGGCATTAATGGGTATTACAGGGCACAACTGGAATACTGAATCAATTTCTTACCTAACCTACATTACTACAATTCCGATACGAGTGAGTGAGAATGGTTTCACGCCGCTTGTAGCAATATTCCAGCAGTATCATGACAGGGGACACCAGAAATAGGCTTCACACATTGTACCCATGTGGGGAATCGAACCTGGATCTTCAGCGTGATGGGCGAACACTTAAACAACTAGGCTACCCCACCGCCCAATTCTTATATGAATTCACTACAAGTGATGCCGGTTTCATCACGACCATATTTGCATTTCAAAGCTAAATTGGGAAACAACAGCATCTCATAAATGAATTACAATACGTTAGTCAAAAACAGAACCATGCTTTCAATCACTGGCAGATTAAACAAGTGATACTACATACAGATTGTAACTTGCATACAGAACATGCATTTAACACACTTTCCCAACCTGGCATGTTTATCACTGACGGATAAATCCGCCCACGGCTGAAACATACCTAAATACAAACGCATCCTGATATAGTTTGACACTTTCATCAGATGCTACTTTCCTGATTGCAGACTCTGACACAAACCTGAAGCCCAAGTCTAACAAACTTCTGTGTTGTCATCTAATACATAATTTGTAATTACTAAATTAAACTGAAAATTATGATATACACCAAGTTGACCACAGACTGAGACTGACTCCATAGACAGCTATTACATTGATTAATCAAGATTCCAGCACAAGAGGACTGAAAATACTGTCTACCTGACCACAGAGAATAATTAAAAAGACTCTAACCCAAGTACAGAATCATTGAGCAAGTCTAGATTTCCTCGGCTGTTCTGGGCACTATGCCTAGACACATACTTTACATAAGATAACTTTATTTCTGGGACTGAATGTTAGTCGAACTGTGACTGTTAAAGGGGAAGTGTACACGAATAAATCACATTTATTCTTCTGTGAATCAAAGTGAACTGTTTTAATTAGTTAATACCAATGTTTGAAAATACACACTCATTTTTCTTACAATGTAAGTATAACCCTCAAAATATGTGCTGAAATGTTATGCCAATATGAAGCCTTTATTTGCCGAGCTAAACAGGCCAGAGTTACCGCCCTTTGATTATGACGTAATTGGTGCCACTTGATTTTAAACTGGTCTACTGTCTAGTCCCAAATCAAAAGATAATAATACTGAAATTAATCACGTGAAAAAAGTTTGTGAAAATTTGAAAGAAGCATAAGAACAGAAAATGTAAGCAGCAGGACAGATTGATCGTGTGTGTTTTCATTCATAACCTCACCTCAATGAAAATACCAAATATGTATAACAATGTTGACGTCC